TATGGTGTAGGCGAGATATCCGTTCGCTAACCAAAGGACGAGTGTTGGGACATGTATTACGAATGCCCAACCACCAACTGCCGCGACGATTTATGTTTTGTGGTGTAGGAATAGGTTGGAAGAAAACTAGAGGCGGCCAAACCAAAATATGAAACGAATCCTTGAAGTCACCTACAAATGGAATGAGTCATGTTGGTAGATTTAGACTACCTGGTTGGGCTCCGCGAGACGAAAGTCACCAATGGTTATAGAGACCTTTAAAGACATGGCTCAAAATCGTTTGCAGTGGCGCAAGTGCATCAATTCGTTGAGCTCTCTCAAATCCTAATCTTCTGGATTTGTCAACACCTCTACCTCTGTCTTTCTAACCTTATCTCACTGAATTATACTTCTTGAATAATATCTTCAAATCCTAGTCTTCTTCATTACCATTAATACCTCTACTATTTTTATCACTATGGGATTTGATTTGACATTTGCGTCTCTGTGCTAATAATGTGGTATGGCAACATGAACTTATGTACATACGTACGAAGTTCTACGTTGCAACTGACTGCCTCAACATGTAAAATTTCGCTTCAAGATTGGTTTGAATCGGCATCTGAACTAGTGATAGGGAGTGAAGCAATTAAGTGTGTTGAACGCTTTGCTTATCTTGAGAGTTTCATCAGTGCTGATGGCCTGGCGACTGACGAAATCTCGGCACGGATACAGAAGGCTTGACTAGCTTTCTCTAACTAGCGTCATTTATTGAGTAGGTGAAATATCTGTCTACCAAACAAAGGATGAGTGTACTGCACAGCCGTTCGCTCTGTAATACTTCACAGGTGTGAAACATAGCAAGTAAGAGTAGAGGATACTCGTAGGTTACTGGTTTTTGAGGTGCCTTCGAAGTATTGCTCGTATATCCTGGGACTACTGAGCAAGCGATGCCGGAGTTAGGAATGACAAATCACCAGATGAGGCAGTGACTTTTCATCAGTTGAGATGGTTGGGACAAGTGTTACGTATGTCCAACCACTGTTAGGGGCAGCAAAACCAGAATATGGCATATTATCCATGAAGCCACTGGCGAATTGACTGAGTCATGTTAGTAGGTGTAGACTATAAGGTTGAGGTCTACGAGTTTTGAATTTTGGCTCGGAATTCATATGGTTAAACAGTGTTTCCACACTATAGCTGATGTCGGCATGTGGTGAACGTCTTAACGATAATTCTCCACACTCTAAATCCCAATTCTAATTCCTCATACTAATTTATGACTTATTTCAGGTCCTAGTAAATAGGCGAATTTTCTCAAGATCACTTTGGTGTCGCACAGCGTAGACAGTAGAACATTAAGGGAACTTCTTCGACACTATGGTGTACCGGAGAAGAAAGTCGATATCATATGGAATTCTTACAACAGATTGCATTGCAAACATGAAGGACAACTCAAGGACTGATTCCAAGCGAAAACCGGTGACAGACAAGGTTGCTGCTTACTCTCACCCTTTCTCTTTCTTCTGACGGTTGATTGGATTATGAAAATCTCAACATCTCAGAGAAAGTAAGGAATTCAATGGATAGCTCGGATGCAGGTAGAAGGTTTGGACTTCGCAGATGACTTACCTCTTCTTTCTTATACATAAAAAAATGCAGAAGACGGCCAGTCCAGCAAAAGCCTCTAAAGCAGTAGGTCACAACACACACAAGGGAGTAGCAAGATTCTCCGAAGCAACACAACATGCACCAAACAAATCACACTCGATGGGGACGCTCTGGAAGATGTGGAAACTTCTACATACCTGGGCAATATCATCGATAAACAAGATGGATCTGAGTAAGGATCAAAAAACCGATCATCAGATTAAATTCTATTTTCTTAAAACTACATCTTTGAAATGAGCTAAGTAAAAGTACTGCTGAAGCCCCAGTAGACAGATAAAAGATTGAATCTTTGAAACATACACCTATACCTACACTTCAACAAAGGGGGGATTCATTTCTTATAGACCATGAAAAGTTCAGTCGGTTGGGTTATGTTCGTCATCGGTCTCACCACTTTAGTGGCACGTGATCTAGTTTTCACGAACAGCCGTCGAATTTGCTATGAAATCTCCTCTTCAGTCCCCGTATGTCATACCTAGGGGAACCCCATTTGTGCGACAGCGGTAATTAGAAGCCAAATATGGATTAGGCTGGATGAGTTTATTTCATGCAATCGTTCATGCCGAAAGACATGAGAATACCGAGCGTTAAAGCTAAGCCAGTCAGACAGTCAGCGACAACGTAGAACTTCGTACACAGGTACATCAGTTCAATTTGCCATACCACATTATCTTGGTGAGATGCAATTGTTTATTCAAATCCCATAGTGACAGAGGTAGTAGAAGTGTAAGCAGTAATCAAAAAGATTAGGATTTGAAGATGTTATTCAAGAGGTATAATCTAACCAAATAAATATGAGAAGAGAAAGATGAAGGTTATGAGGAATTCAAAAGATCAAGATTTAGTAGAACACCTGCGCCATTGAAAACGGCTTTGAGCCACATCATTCAAGATCTCTAACCAGCGGTTACTTTTGTCTCGCGGACCCCAACCAGGTAGTTCACACCAACCCAAATATCTCAGTTCACTTGTCAGTGACTTCACGGATTTGTACAATCTTTTGGTTTGGTCACCTATACCTTTCTTCCAATCTACGCCCTTGCGCTCAATATTCTCATTTCCATCCGCATGAACAGTTGCTTGAAATAAACTCATACAACCGAATTCGTATTTGGCTTCTTATTACTGCCGTCGCACAAACGGGATTCACCTAAATATGATATACGGAAGCTGAAGGAGAGATTTATTTCATAGCATACTTGACTGTTCATAAATACTGGAGTCAGTACACAGGCCACTGAAGTGGTGAGCCCCACTTCGAGTTCAACGTAGTCACCAAACATGTAATATTTGAGTGATTCTTCATCATTCTCAAGCTCAACGGAAAAAGAAGAAGGTCAACGAACACATTATGACGAAAATCGGAAGCAGAAATGAAAAGAATGAACAACTGTTGGGTGGAACTAGAAAAGACAGTCAGACAGACAAATATAACGCAGAACTTCGTACATAAGTACATCAGTTCAGGTTGCCATACCACATCAGCACAGAGACGTAACTTTCAGTTCAAATCCAAGAGTGATAGCGATAGTAGAATTATTAGCTGCAATGGAGAAGATAAGGGAGCGAAGATATGATTCGAAAAGTACAATTCAGTGAGATAAATTTAGAAGGAGAAAGATAGAGATGATGAGGAATCCAGAAGATTAGGATTTGAGAGAACACAAAGAATAAATGCACCTGTGCCATTGCAAACTATTCTGAGCCATGTCATTCAAGTTCTCTAACCATCGATTACTATCATCCCGCGGACCCGAACCAAGTAGCCTACATCTACCAAAATGACTCAGTCCACTTGTCAGTGTCTTCATGGATTTCTGCCATGTTTTGGTCTGGCCGCCTCTAACTTTCTTCCAACCTACTCCTACACCACAAAACAAAACTCTCCGAGGTAGTCAGTGGTTAGGCATTCGTAACACATGTACCAACCACCTCAACTGATGAAGTTTCAATACTTCATCTATTGATCTACCATCCTTACCTAGAACTCGTTTCCTAACGACAGCGTTGCTTACTCGGTCGTCCCAGGATACACGAGCAATGCTTCGGATACACCTATGATCAAAGACTAGACAAGGGGGGGCTCAAGATAGAGTAGGTTGGAGAATGTTGGTCAGTGGCCTATACACCATTGGGGCTAACACGCATAAGTAAGTAAGTAATTAACCAACATCATACAATCACTACAATTTAATCGGTGTGCATAAAATGGTAGTTTTTTTTAAGAAAAAATAACTTACTTTGAATAACTTCGACGATGTTTTCTAGTTGAATACATACGTTTAAATGATAATAATTGATTATTTGAATTATCCGGTAAAGTATCACGTAAATCTGGCCATTTCGCATTGATTATTAATAAACGAATGACATAGCCAGCAAGATTACCAAACCAAAATAAACTGGTCACAATGATTGCTAACGTCTGTTTAAAATGAAATGAAATAAAGAATACAAACAGCTGATATAAAGTTACATAAACAATCAATATTGTTAACAAAATAGGATGCCTAGTTAAATCATAGAGCCGAAATTGGATACGATTGAGTCACTACAAACATTCCGATCGTAGCTGCTAGCTTAATGTGATAGTTGGGCTTGCCTATCATGATGTCCTAATTGAGCTATATTGGCTGGAACATATGTTTCTGTAGGTCCTACCATGCCAGGCAGATCGATTGGAGAACTCACGGATTTCCGTCTCCGGTGGTAAGGCTGTTTGGAGAGCGGAGCTAACTCTTAACAAATATTCCATAAAAAGGTCGTGTGTGACGGGCTTCAAGTAGTTGTCTCTTGGGCTCCGAAGGTCGCTCAGAACAATGCTAACCAGATTTCCTTCTCAAGTTTCTCAAGAAATACCCTTCCACAGTGTGAGCAGCCGGGAAGTGACATCCACCCTCATACCCGTAACAACACACACGTTATCCCCTTGAGCCTTTAAATAAACTGATATGACAGAGAGTAACGACTTGCTGAAATAATCATGTATTTTATTCAATGAAATAACATGTCTATACACAAGTTGTTCAAAGAAAAATGATATATTATCAGTATATGGTTGTAGAGATTGCTAGGTTTCCTTGAAATCATGAACCGACCAACGTTGGAGTTCTAGTCAGAAGCCGTGATCAATGGAGTTCAACCGCGTCGAGAGTGAGGTAAGTTACCTACTGTGATAGTCATAAAATATCGTAGATTGATTGAAGCGAGATACTGTTGGATACCAACTCAGTAGATTAGAGGTTAGGCGTTCGCACGCAAGACCGAAGGTCCTGAGTTCAATTCCCACTCGCTAGATCATGAATGCCTACTGCTGAGGATTTTCATACAAGGAAGAAGTGGTTGTTCAGTGGTGATCTAACATCGATATGATATCAATGAAAATAAAATAACTGGCCTTGTAAGTTACTCAGTTCCCAAGCACATTAAGATCTGACTAACAGGCTTAACTCTTACTAATCATATTATTTTCTGGAAGTATAACTAATAGTATTTACAAAATCTTGACAATAACATATTACCCTAACGTATATATAATTCAACGATATTTAACAAGGCCATATTAAAACACGACACAAATCCATAAAGTCACTAACAATTGGACTGAGCCATGTTTGTAGGCGTAGACTACCTACCTTGTTGGGGTCAGCGAGACTGAGTGCCTTGGCTCAAAATAGTTTGCAACAACGCAGGTGCATCCATTGTTTGTGTTTTCTCAAATCCTAACCTTCTGAATTCCTCATCATTTCTATCTTTTTCTTTTTTAATTTATTTGACTGGATTTCACTTCTTGAATAACATCTTCGAACGCTAATCTTTCTGATTAAAGCTCCTACTACCTCTACCACTATGGGATTTGAATTGACAATCGCATCTCTGTGTGCTAGTGTGTTATGTCAACTTGAACTGATGTACGTACGTATGAAGTTCTACATTGTAGCTTACTAACTGACTGATTGATTAACAAGGTCTCAGATTGTTATAATCCTCTCTTTATTACAACCCAGCTATTCCTAATACTTAGTATTTTCGGAAACCGATTCACTTGAGACGTTCTCCCAAATCCGAACACGGTTGAACAAGAAATAGATTTTAAGTTAGGTGGAAGAGAGTAGGTCCAAAAAGAAAAGACGTCAATATATTTATAGTTTTCTTACATGAGAAGATTCTAGAGAATGTTCCCTCAGTATCGACTAGTGTCGACTGGATAAGAAAGAACCAATCAGCGCGCAACAACGCAGTCAGTCAGATGCAAAGTAGAACCTCGTACGTAAGTACATCAGTTCATGTCGCCATACCACATCAGCACAAAGATGTAATTGTCGATTCAAATCCAACAGTAGAAGAGGTAGTAAAAGTATTAGAAGTAATCGGAGAGGTTAGGATGAGAAGATATTATTCAAGAAGTATGATTTAATGAGAAAAGTTTAGAACGTCAAAACTAGAGTTGTTGAAGAATCCAGAAGATTAGGATTTGAGAGAACACAAAGAATAAATGCACCGGCGCCATTGCCAACGATTTTGAGCCATGTCATTCAGGGTGTCTAACCATCGATTATCATCATCTCGAGGACCCCAACCAGGTAGTCGACAATTACCGACATGGCTAAGTCCACTCGTCAATGACTTCATGGATTTCTGCCATGTTTTAGTTTGGCCGCCCCTAACTTTCTTCCAACCTACTCCTACACTACAAAACAAAGCTCGTCGAGGCAGTCGGTGGTTAGGCATACGCAGCACATGTCCCAACCACCTCAACTGATGAAGTTTCAATACTTCATCTATTGATCTGCCATTCTTACCTAGCACCCGATTCCTAATAACAGCGTTGCTCACTCGGTTGTCCCACGATATACGAGCAATGCTTCGAAGACACCTATGATCGAAAACCAGTAACCTACGAATATCTTTTACTCTCACTGTCCATGTTTCACAGCCATATAGAAGAACGGAGCGAACTGCTGCGCAGTACACTCGTCCTTTAGTCAGCAGACGGATATCTCGCCTACGCCATAAGTGACGCAGGTTGGCAAAAGACAATCGAGCAATCATGCTTTTTAACCCAATCTATGTCCCATTAACACAGATCAACACACCAGGAGAGTTTAAAACGAACAAGTATTTTATTAACATGATTATTAACTCATTAGTAAGTACAGATCTGTGTGTATTCGGTTACAAAACATACACTTTATATGAGAGCTGGTAAATATCATTCGATTTCTCAAACCGCTGTATATGTTACAAAAGTTAGAATCTATGCGATTTCATGATTAAGAGAGAAAACATCTGAATCCCACTAGATCACCGCTGATAACATTAAAATCACTAATTAAAACTTCAGTCAATATAATTAAATCATGTGAATCGAATCTCTGGTGCCAGGTCATTTTATTACTGTGACAATTCGTCAATACAATCAATCGATCTAATCTGACAATCTAAGACAGAAAGTCAATGATAGTTGAAGAGTTCACACATACTAGAAATGACAGGAAATAGATTGGAAGTCAGAGGAAAACAAAGGTATGGAAGTCAATCCATGAGAACAGTACAAGTAGAGCTTTGATTCAAAACTGACATAAATATGAAAGATTAAAATTTATTTCTTCATTTAAAGTGAATCAGTCAGTTACAACGTAGAACTTGATACGTATGCCGCTCAAAACTAATGTTAGTAGATGTAGACGACTACTTATTTAGGGTCTGTATAACAGTCAGTCAGTCGGCTACAACGTACAAATTCGTACGTACTACAGCAGTTACAGGTTGAGATACCACATTAGCAAAGTGAGATGCAATTGTCAATTCAAATCCCACAGTGGTAGAGGTAGTAGAAGCACTAAGCATAAAGATTAGCGTTCGAAGATGTTAGTGGGACATAGATTGAATTAAAGCATGACTACGTTGCTGCGCGCTGATTGGCTAATTTCATATCCAACCAGCGCCTGATCGAGTCTCGGAGAGCAGGGTAGAAGATTCTCGTACTGTTAGCTGCGTGCTGATTGGTTAAATCTGATCCAGTCGATCACGTGAATTTCTATCCACAATCTTTCCATGTAAGTACTATAAATAGACTAACGTTGTATCTATTTTTGCCTTCGCCATCACCTTTGGCTTCTTATTTCCATTTAACCTTGCTATTTGGAATATAATCTTTTCCTGTTCAACCGTTTTTTGATTCTTGGGAACTTGTCCAGTGTATTGTGTGTCAGAGAATACTAAGCAATAGGATTTAACCGGAAAATATATCTAAGCGAAACATTACAACAGATGTTATTGAAGAAGTGAAATCCAGTGAAATAAATTTAAAAAGAGATAACGAAAGGCGATGAGAAATTTGGAAGATTGTAATTTGAGAGAACACAAAGAATGAATGTATCTGCGCTATTGCAAACGATTTTGAGCCAAGGCACTCAATCTCGAACTACCGGTTACGGTTATCTGGAGGACCCTACCTGGTAGTCTACACCTACTAATATGGTTCAGTCCAATTGTCAGTGACTTCATGCAATTGTGCCATGTTCTGATTAGACCGCCTCTATCTTTCTCCCAGCCTACTTCTACATCAGAAAATCATAACCAGTGGTTAGAGACTTTGAATGACATTAGTCAGTTACAACGTAGAACTCTGTATATGCGTAGATTAGTTCAAATTGATACACCACATTAACACATAGAGATGAAATGATCAGGCCAAATCCCAGATCAGTAGTTACAGCATTAGGGGTAACGGAAAAGATTAGGCATCAAGGATATGAAGCAAGAAGTTATAAACGAGTGAAATAAATCTTTCGTAAAGAACAGCCCTGATGAATTCAGAAGCTCAGTACTCGGGAAAAGACAAAGAATCAAAACGCCTGAGCCATATCATTCAAAGTTTCTTATCACTGATTACCTTGTAGTATCATGTGAATTCTAACCAGGTGGTAGTAGTCTACACTTATTCACATTGCTTGGTTCGATTGTCAATCAGAATATAATGGTTTATTAAACTGAGAGTGCTGGCGACGTTAGATCCCTAGAACTCACTCAGAAAAGGTCCTACATGTTGTAATTTATATCGGAAATTTTGAATTTTTTATGTTTTCACGCATAACATAAGACGCTTTAGTTGACCTTCAGCTTACACTTCCCCCTCGGAAAATCCTCGACTATCATTGGTTGATGGTTTATTTTAGTACGCTATTTTGTGGCTCTCACCATGGGCATTGCTATCACTGTATAAATAAGCTTGATTTGTGTGCTTAACAACCACGTATTTTCGGGTGCATGTAGAATACCTTCTCTACTCCTTATCAAGACTTCCTGATCTAGTTAGCACGGCCTAGGACAATCGGATTAGAATAACCTAACGTGTCACTGAAACATGATTGATCGTCGTTTCGTTTACCGACTAAGGTGAACTCGTAATAGTTTCAAGTATATCAGGTGACGAGTATGTCAGAATAAATCAATAATTCAAATGATTAAATGCCTTACTTAAATAAAACTCTATATGCAATCAACTTTAGTACTTAATAAACAAGAGTAATTTTATACACATAAAATAAATCATGAGTTGATCAGCGTTAAATCACCATTAGAAACCTGGTGGTTTTGTCTAAGCGCATCCACGACTCTTACAAGTCGCAGAACTTGAATCTAGGACTTTCAGTCTTGTGCGCGAACACCTAAACTCTGAACAGTGTTAATCTGTAACTTCGATCGATCCACGGTCTTGCGCAACTTCATCCACTGTCTTCGGTGAGCTCTGCTTCACACCCGAACAGGGTTGAACTCCACTACTAATCACGTCTGCTCACTGAAAATCGGAAAAACTTCCTCACGGAGCTAGTCACTAGTGAGCTCAAGATCTAAGGTCTTAAGGTTCGAATCCTGCGAGTCATGGATGCGCACTGCCACTGATGAGTCCCATACTATAGAATGAAACAGCCATCCTACAGTACTTCCAGATTTCTTCTAATGATACTGCTCTAACATTAAGTGATTCATAATTTCAATAAAGTGTAACTTCAACAACAATATTTTGGGGCACAGTTTTGGAGGTTTGCGTTTTTACACATTTGAAATCATCAATCAATCATTGTTAGACCACCATTAGAAACCTGGAAGCACTGGACGGCCGTTTCGTCCTTGTATGGGACTCATCAGTAGCGCTGCGCATCCACGACTCCTGCACCTTGCAGGATTCGAACCCGGGACCTTTGGCATCGTATGCAAACGCCTTACCATCGGACCACTGGGCCGGCGTCCAACGGTGTTAATGTCTAACTCTGATTGATCTAGGGATTTCGCGCGACCTCACCCATTTGTCTTTGGTAGTTACTGCCTACAACCGACAGGGTTGAACTCCATTGGTCACGTCTTCTCAACTAAAACTCCGAGAATTTCCTCACGAAGCTAGTCACTAGTGAGCACTGTTACGATATTTTGGGGCGTTCCCCTACAATGCCAAAGGCCCCGGGTTCGAATCCTGCGAGGTGCAGGAGTCGTGGATGCGCAGCGCTACTGATGAGTCCCATACCAGGACGAAACGGCCGTCCAGTGCTTCCAGGTTTCTAATGGTGTTCTAACAATGATTGATTGATGATTTCAACAACAATACCTCCACAACCTTCCTTATATATATCATAAACTGAAAAAAACACAATTCCACTTACTGGTGACCAAAGAAGATAACGTATTGTAAGACTGGCTATAAATCCACTAAATGTTATTTCTAAACCACTATTTAAAAATATCGATAATAATAACCAAAAATTTGATGGCCATTGAATTGTTGGCCAATACGTTTCAAATATTGAATAGTGATTGAACATGGAAGAAGAGGGAGGAATGGAGATATTGGTGGCCTTGGTGTTGTTGTTCGTCGTTCGTCATATTCTCGTCGTGCTGATGAACACCATTCATATTTCGATTGACAATTATCGTCGATTTAAACGATACTGATTTGTCAAGATTATCATCATTATTATTGCCTGATACAGATGATTTCATGAGTGAATTTTCTGGAATAACATTACCATCAGCGTCATGCATTAATTCAGAGTCAGAATGACAAATTATCTCCTCGCTGGTTTTATCAATATATTGATTTCGATTCCATAATTCATCGGAGGAATCCGACTGAGTATCACTTTCGTCTAAATGTAAAAAATAAAAAATAAAAATTTCTAATGATGATCATTGATAAAAAAAATATATGAATAGTCGTTGTATATTTCTGTTAACGATTCCAGCTGGAGCCCTCTTTTGGAGTTACTGCTGGTTAAGTCAGTCAGTCAGTCAACAACAATAACAACATAGAACTTCGTACGTACGTATGTAAATCAGTTCAAGTTGTCATACCACATTAGCACAGACAGATGCTATTGTCAATTCAAATTCCATTGTAGTAGAGGCAGTAGAAGTGTTAGCAGTAATCGGAGAGATTAGGTCTCTAACCATTGATTACTAACATCTCGCGGAGCCCAACCAGTTAGGCAGTTTACATCTACCAACATGACTCAGTCCACTTGTCAGTGACTTCATGGATTGCTGCCATGTTTTGGTCTGGCCGCCCCTAACTTTCTTCCAACCTATTCCTACACTACAAAACACGGCTCGACGAGGCAGTCGGTGGTTAGGCATACGCAACACATGTCCCAACCACCTCAACTGATGAAGTTTCACCACTTCATCTGCCATTCTTACCTAGCACCCGTTTCCTAATAACAGCGTTGTTCACTCGGTTGTCCCAGGATATACGAGCAATGCTTCGGAGACATCTATGATCGGAAACCAGTAACCTACGAATATCTTCTACTCTCACTGGCCATGTTTCACAGCCATAAAGTAGGACAGAGCGAACTACTACGCAGTATACTCGTCCTTTTGTTAGCAAACGGATATCGCGTCTACGCTATAAGTGACGCAAGTTGGTGAAAACCAATGGTCCCAAAACACGGATAAAGGAGGATTAGGTTGGGGCATAAAGGTTAGCGACCCTATTCCGCAGATAACCAACTCACTAACCAGAAATTATGACTTAAAATTTATACTTCCTAACCCAAAAAACATTGGAAAATGAATTTTTCAGTTAGTCATAATCAACAAAGAGTTTATTGGGAATTATCAACAATAATATTGGTATGTGAAGGAAAAAAGCAGTACAATGGTGACAATAGTAATGATATTATAACTTTAGAAGAACCAATTAAACAGGTAATGTATGAAGAAATACTGGAATTCAACTCAAAGAGTGAATGTTTTTAATCATCCAGTTGTGACTGATCGCATAGATGCAAACCGGATGATTTGAATCCATAAACATAGTTTAATTCAACAGTTAATGGTTTCATGAAGTGATGCCATTCATTCATATTTGGGTGAGTATAACCAACATTATTACCGATATTATTTCAAGACCCTAGTTTTCTTTGATATCGCATCATATAGTAGTGGTATTATGGAGATCGTTGTGTTTACACATTGAAATCATGAATGAATAATTGTTAGATCAACATAAGAAATTTGATATCACTGGATGGCTGTTTGATCCTGGTATAGGACTTGAAGTGCCTCCACATATATTCCAGTTGGTTTACACATCTAACTTGGTTAAGCCCTTTCGATTAATTTATTTAACCAAGCCATTTGTATTGCAACAATTTATATGTTGTACCATTCGTTCTTATTATTATTGTCTGGTTTGTATGATCAGCTCACATGACGTGTTCCACTTGTCATTTGACCTTGTCAACTATTCGTCGCTTTTATTCATGTGTGACTATTTCGCTTGTCGTATGTGTGTCTTATATTTGTCTGGCTATATATCCTTAGCCACGCTCTATCTCTAGGAATTGGCTCTTAGCCTTCTCCAACGCGCTTCGCTTGTTCATTCTCTTCCTTCGCATTGTAATCCTGGGAGTTGACTCAGCAGCCTTCTCCAATTCACGTTGCTTCATTCGTTTTATTCACAGCTTCTTCGCTTCGCTTTGTGGTGTGTCCCTTCACCTTCTGATTTATAAACCGTCAGAGTGTTGTAACGCTTGCTTAAATAATTCCCAGCTAATTCCTATTGCTTAGTATTCTCTGACCACAATACACTGGACAAGTTCCCAAGAATCGAAAATACGGTTGAACAGGAAAAGATTATATTCCAAATAGCAAGGTTAAATGGAAATAAGAAGCCAAAGGTGATGGCGAAGGCAAAAATAGATACAACGTTAGTCTATTTATAGCATTTACATGAGAAGCTTCTGGATAGAAATTCACGTGATCGACTGGATTAGATTTAGCCAATCAGCATGCAGCTAACAGTACGAGAATTTTCTACCCTGTTCTCCAAGACTCGATCAGGCGCTGATTGGATAGGAAATTAGCCAATCAGCGCGCAGCAACGTAGTCATGCTTTAATTCAATCTATGTCCCACTAACACAGAGGCTATTTAGTAACGATTGTCTGGACGAGCTAATTACCGAGCTTAAGAACACGCAGTGAAACGGCACACTACAGACTCATCAGTGGCAGTGTGTATCCACAAATCCTGCTACCCGCGGGATTCGAACTCAGGACCGGAGGTCTTGAGCGTGAAAGCCTAATCTCCAGACCACTGAGCTGGCATCTAACGAGTTAATGTCTAACTTTAAGATCGACAAAGTAAATGTGGTTAAATTGCAATTCTTAAATTTCGAAAAACATTAAAATTCTTCTTAGATAATTGACAGTTTGATACATATAGCATACTTATGCCATTTTATTCAAGATAACATTGTCATCTCATGAGTCAATTTACTGTTATTAAATATAAACTTAATACTCACGAAACGTTTTCTGCTTAGAATGCATTAGATCACTTAGAATCTATGGGGCTGTTCACTTTCTTCATTCTTATCCAAGCATTTAGAGACGATAGTTTCATTCATCTGAACTTCGTACGTAAGTACATCAGTTCATGTCGCCATACCACATCAGCACACAGATGTAATTGTCAATTCAAATCCAATAGTAGAAGAGGTAGGAAAGGTATTAGAAGTAATCGGAGAGGTTAGGATTAGATATTATTCAAGAAGTATGATTCAATGAGATAAGTTTAGAAAGTAAAAACTAGAGGGGTTAAGAATCCAGAAGATTAGGATTTGAGAGAGCACAATGAATGGATGCACTTGTGCGATTGCAAACGCTTTTGAGCCATGTTAATTCAAGATCTCTAACCATTGGTGACTATCATCTCGCGGACCCCAACCAGGTAGTCGACAATTACCGACATGGCTAAGTCCACTTGTCAGTGACTTCATGGATTTCTGCCATGTTTTGGTCTGACCGCCCATAACTTCCGTCCAACCTATTCCTACACCGCAAAATATAGCTCGACGAGGCAGTCGGTGGTTGGGCATACGCAGCACATGTCCCAACCACCTCAACTGATGAAGTTTCAGCACTTCATCTATTGATCTGTCATTCTTACCTAGCACCTGTTTCCTAATAATAGCGTTGCACACTCGGTTGCCCCAGGATACTCGAGCAATGCTTCGGAGACACCTATGATCGAAAACCAGTAACCTACGAATATCTACTCTCACTGGCCATGTTTCACAGCCATAAAGTAAGACGGAGCGAACTACTGCGCAGTACACTCGTCCTTTAGTCAGAAAATGGATATCTCGCCTACGCCATAAGTGACGCAGGTTGGCGAAAGCTAATCGAGCCTTCTGTATCCGAGCTGAGATGGTGGATCAATATATGAAGTAGTAAAATTGCATCAGTTGAGGTGGTTTGAACATGTGTGTGTATGCCTAACCACCGCTAGCGAGCAGCTTAACCAAAACATTGCACAAATCCATGAAGTCACTGACAAGTGAACTGAATCATATTAGTAGGTGTAGACAATCTGGATGGGGTTCGCAAGATTATAGTAATCGATGGTTAGAGACCTTGAATGGCATAGCTCAAAATTGCTTGCAATGGCGCACGTGCATCCACTCTTTGTGTTCTTTCAAATTACAATCGTCCGAATTTCTTATCACCTTTCGTTATCTCTTTTTAAATTTATTTCAGTGGATTATACTTCTTGAACCATATCTTATATCCCTAATCTTCTCCACTACTGCTAATACTTCTACTACCTCTACCACTAAGGGACTTGAATTGGCAATCCCATCTATGTGTGCTAAAGTGGTGTGGCAACCTGAACTGACGTATAAGAGCACCGAGTTCTATGTTGTAGCCGACTGACTGACTGACTGAACAGTACTGAAGTTTTACACTGTTAGGACAATCAAAACATTACTATCAGATTTTTACTAATCATTTTTATATAGGCTTCAGAAACCTGGAATCACTGGACGGCCGTTTTGTCCTGGTATGGAACTCGTCAGTGGTACTGTGGATCCACGACTCCTGCTACCTGCGGGACTCGAACTCAGGACCTCCGGTCCTGCGCCCGAACGCCTAATCTTTGGACCACTGGGCCTACTATTAACATAAGAAAATCAAATTTGGGCATTATTATCATGTAACATAAAAATATTTTCATTCAACCATTCAAGCATATTACTCACTCTTACCAGATTTTTCAAGTAATCTTGATTTGACACCTTCTTCCGAATGATTTTGACTACTATCCAAATTCAATCGACTTTTCATATTAGATGAAGAGAGTTTATGAACAGAAATCAACTCAAATTGATTATTTCTATAATCCACGTCATAATCATCATCATCATCATCATCATCATTGATAAGTTGAAGATCAAAGAAACGCATAAACATTGATTCACACCAACTTGTCAATGGGATGGTTAATAGCCATACGATCAATGCAATGATACTTAATAATAAATAAACTTTTTGTACAGATTCCATTGGATATTGAAATGGAAGTAAAAAATTATAAGGTGATTTACTTGATGAATGTTCAGCGATACGATGATGATGACGATGAGGCTGCAGACGATCATTAGAGTTTTGCATTGTTGAATTATTAACTACAATGATATTGTTTGATTGTATCACTGTTGGTGTAAATGTATTGACTAGAAATGGAGTAGTTGTATTAGTAGTAGTAGTAGTAGTAGTAGTAGTCATGGTAGAAGACTTATTATTATTACTACTAACTAATTCCATGTCATCAGTAATATTATACATACCAAGTATAACTTTAATGTTATTGATTTTGGATTTTGATGTATTCAACACAGGATTATTGTCTGTTGAATTCATAGGATTCATGGTAGTTTTATTACTGAATGGATGATGTTGTTCAATTGATGTGGTTATTTTCAAATTAGGCGGAAATTCTGTTGAAACATTGTTTAAATGAAATGAAAGATCAGTGGAGGGTGAAGAAGTGGAATTTGAAATGTTTGTCAAGATATTTGATTGGTTGGTAAATGTTGAATTGGAAATATGCATCAATATAGTACTAGTAGTAGTATTAGTAGTATTAGTAGTAGTAGTCGTAGCAGTCGTGGGAGTAGTAGTAGTAGTCGACTGATTTTGAACTATAACATTTTCAAGTTTATTTGAATCAACATTAGACACTGATGGTGGTGATTTATGCTCATCAGTTAATTTTTCAATTTGACGTTCTTCTGTAAGTTTTTTCATTTTAAACGCTGTTTCACTACCATCTGCTGCAGAACTATCTTGATTCAAATGTTTAGCATCATTCACTGATGGTTTTTTCTTGATGACAGGTTTTATAGTGGTAGGAGTGGTAGTAGTAGTAGTAGTAGTTGTTGAAGACGCATTCAATGTCATATTCAGTTGTGTTTTATTATTAAAGTTGAGTTCAGTTGTCAATGTTACATTAAACAACGATTGATTATTATTATTAGAAGATATGGAATGATGATTCACGTCAATTGGGATTGTCGTTGTCATTTGTAAACTATAATTGGAATTGTTTTTTTGTAGTAGTGAATGATTACTCATGGGAATTTGTCGTGGATAACGAGCAAATGTAGACAGTTTATTGTCAATATCATTATTACTGTCAATAAGCTGTATGGAATTGACATTGGATATATTTGAAATAAGTGTATCGTGTATTGGAAAGGATAATTTGTTTAAGGGGCCAGTACTACCACCACTATTACCACTACTACTACTACTACCACTACTAGGATGAACACTGGTTATTGGTGTGATAGCGTCTAAATTCGGTTCAATGATCAATAGAAGATATGGAGTCAGTACACAGCCCAATAAGAAAATAGTTGTTAAATATTGTGGGATAACATGTAATCGATGCTTGATATTCTCATGATGATAAACACATCCTGAATAGAATAAAAAAAAATGTGGACAGAAAAAACAGTTACTATTGCAAAAAAATTCGTTCATGTTGGAGCCACTCTGGGGGGTTACTGCCAGTCCCAAGCCCGGGGTATAGAGGAGGGTTGTGCATGGGGTGTTAGTGACCCCATCCCATAGAAAAGTAGTTCACTATAAAAAGCGCTTACAAAATTACCATAACATCACTTTACATCAAATTAGAGAGTTATTACAAATGCAACTAAGATTTTAATGGTTGTAATATAGTCTCTAATATCTAGAGCTAAATTGTTTCATGACATGACTTGATGAATATTTCAATTATTTTTTCTCATAATGAATTTTTGACGTGTTCTCCCTCATAATAAGAGAATAAACGATGTATTTCGAATAAATCTTGTTACTGATTACAAATTATCAGAAATAAGGTAGGACGGCGAATTTCACTTCCGAATGCTCACACCATGGAAGGATATTTCTTGAAGAACCTGTAAAGGAAATCGGATTAGCGTTGATCTTAGAGAACTGGGAGCGTGACCGCAGAGCCTAAGGAACAACTGCTTGGGGCTGGCAACACATAGTCTTTTATGGCCCGACCGTAGCTGCTACCTTGAAGTGGTGGTCGGGATTGCCTATCGTGATGACCCGACCGAGCTATACTGGCTGCAACATATGTTCCTGACTGAGTCTTTTTATGGGATGTTTCGGAAGTGTTAGCACCGCCTTACTATAGGAGATAGGAATCCGTGAGGTAAGGTGAGGTGTGACAGTTTTAGGGTCGATCTTTTCTAAAGCAACACTTTATTGCTGTCACACTCCTTTAAAGTCGGCAGTACGACTTCACCCTCAGACCTTGAGTTGCTGTTTTTTTAGTGATACCGTTTTCCAATCGACCTGCATGGCATGGTAATGTAGTGAACGAGAAGACAGGTGGGTCAACCGAATTGCATTAAAAAGAAAATTACGGAGTTACTCAGTAAAATCGGAAAACCATACCGTAAATCGTTAATTTGCAAAATATCAGTTCATCATATCGAACTGGACTGCTCCTGTTGCAAAACATCAATCGATTGTCTGACATTTCACTGTTCATGCGTTTCATACAAATTCCATTGTGTTCTAACTCTCCCTTTCTCTTGATCTTCCCCCATCTTCTGCTGCTGCCAGACATTACGTTGACACTCACGTCATATACTACTTATAAGTAGCTCGCACCACAGTAAGACCTAAAGGAACATATTTTTCAGCCAATATAGTTCGATTGGATCATCACGATAGGCAAGCTCGACCACCACGTCAAGGTAGCAGCTACGATCGCGCTAATACTTCTACTACATCTACCACTATGGGATTTAAATTGATGATTGCATCTCTGTGTGCTAATGTAGTATGGCAACTTGAATTGATGTACATACGTAACATAGGAAGTTCTAAGTTGTCAGTCAGTCAGTCAGTCAGATGCAACGTAGAACTTCGTACGTAAGTACATCAATTCATGTCGCCATACCACATCAGCACACAGATGTAATTGTCAATTCAAATCCAATAGTAGAAGAGGTAGTAAAGGTATTAGAAGTAATCGAAGAGGTTAGGATTAGAAGATACTATTCAAGAAGTATGATTCAGTGAGATAAGTTTAGAGAGTCGAAACTAGAGGTGTTGAAGAACCCAGAAGATTAGGATTTGAGAGAACACAAAGAATGGATGCACCTGCGCCATTGCAAACGATTTTGAGCCATGTCATTTAAGGTCTCTAACCATCGATTATTATCATCTCGCGGACCCCAACCAGGTAGTCGACAACAACCGACATGGCTAAGTCCACTCGTTAATGACTTCATGGATTTCAGCCATATTTTGATTTGGCCGCCCCTAACTTTCTTCCAACCTATTCCTACACTACAAAACAAAGCTCTTCGAGGTAGTCGGTAGTTAAGCATGCGCAACACATGTCCCAACCACCTCAACTGATGAAGTGTCACTACTGCATCTATTGATCTGCCATTTTTACCTAGCACCTGATTCCTAATAACAGCGTTGCTCACTCGGGTGTCCCACGGTATACGAGCAATGCTTCAAAGACACCTATGATCGAAAACCAGTAACTGACGAATATCTTCTACTCTCACTGGCCATGTTTCACAGCCATAAAGTAAGACGGAGCGAACCACTGCACAGTACACTCGTCCTTTAGTCAGCAAACGGATATCTCGCCTACGCCATAAGTGACGCAGGTTGGCAAAAGCCAATCGAGCCTTCTGTATGCGAGCTGAGATTTCGTCAGTCACTAGGCCATCAGCACTGATGAGACTCCCGAGATAAGTGAAGCGGTCTACACGTTCGACTACTTCACTCCCTATCACTAGTTCAGGTGCCGATGAAACCCAATCTTGAAGCAACATTTTGCATTTCGAGGAGGGAACCGCATACCGAACATGCTTGCATTGTTGCTTAGGGTGGTCAGAAGACTCTGCATTTTGTCAGCGTCTTCACAAAGTAGGACAATGTCATCGGCATATTCTAAGTCAATAAGCGAGCCACCTGGTAGAAGGTCTACTCCTGAAAATTCAGATGAGGATAAGGTTATTTCTAGGAGCATGTCTATGATAAAATTAAACAAGAATGGAGAAAGTGGACATCCCTGACGGACACCACTTGAAGTAGAGAATTCCGAAGTTCTAAGTTGTAGCTGACTAACTTCCTTTGTTCTGATGTATACACTATTATAACATAAAAATATTATCCAAGAAAAAAACCCAATTTTTAAGAACAACTATTATTATTTTTTTTGATTACCTTGTAAAGAAATGGTTACAAATAAACCTTGTAGAAAGAATACTGCTAACATCCACCAAAGATGTTTAATGAAAATAATTAAACCATTAGATATAATTAAACCAAAAAGTCCAATACTTAATAAATCAATTGGTTTATTAATAAAACCATTTGAATCCAACAATAGACAACTAACTATCCAACCACCAATACAACCAACAGATTTTGATGTAAATATAAGTGCTGTTTCATCTTCACGTGAACTAGCTAATTTTTCCAAATATAAAATACTTGGTCCTATAAGTCCTGTTGAAAGACCCTGAAGCGATTGTTAAGAAAATAAAAAAAACGTAGGCGACTTACAATTAATAAGAAAACAAGCATGAAAACTATTTTTCGCATACATTTGATGACTGTACACCTCTTATCCGATGTAGGATTTCGTCTTGTTCTCGTTGTCCTAGTCGATGGCATCAGTAGTGGTAGTTATGTAATAAAACCTTTGAAGATGTTCTTCAAATACTAGAAGTGTACTACTGACAAGATAGCAAGCACTCAAATAGAATAACCTGAGCAGAAAGGATGAGAAGGAGGGAGAAATTGTGAGTTATGATTATATCTATTGAGTATATTTTGTTTCAAGAATTCAGAGAAATCAATAAAATTGAAAAAATCATGAACTATCGTCTTGTTTTAAGAAATCAATTACATCGTTTATTTAATCTAGTCGTTTTTAAACTTTATTATGTAACGACGTGAATTATACTTTTCTTATTTGAGAAACATTTTTACAAAAAATATCATTTACATTATTATTGAAATCATAAATCGATCAAGATTAGATTACCATTAAAAACCTGGGATCACTGGACAGCCGTTTCGTCCTGGCATGGGACTCATCAGCAGTACACATTTACGACTCCTGATACTCGTAAGATTTGAACCCGAGACCGTCAGTCTTGAGAGCGAACGTGAGCACATTGTATGATTTTTCATTATACAGTTACGGAGATCATCATTAGAAACCTGAAAGCACTGGACAGATCGATTTACGATTTCAGTAATAAACAATATCTATAACTCTACGGTGAAAAATCGTACAATGTGCTCACTGGTGACTAACGTCATGAGGAAATTCTCCGAGCTCTAGTGAGAAGACGTGACCAATGAAGCTCAATCCTATTGGATGTAGGTAGTAACTACTTAAAACAATGGGTGAAGTTGCACAAAATCCTTAGATTAATCAAAGTTAGACATTAACACAGCTGGATGACTTCGTTTGTGACAATTTTTTTAAAATCAACTAACGTGTTCCAACAAATTGATTTCCTTAATTGTTTAGGCACATTTAGAGTAGCTAATAAAGTTGTCTTGCGATTAGACGAACGAAAGACAAGGCAGGGATAAAAGCAAAGCATGAATACACCGTAGTCGTCAATACAGAGTAACTAACTAACGAATAAATCAAACTGAGGTGCTATTATATGGATCGTGAAAAAAGTCCTAACCACACATAAAATGTTATGTTAACACCCGATCTTTGAAACTTTTATTTTAACGTAATCTAGAATTCAAGTACGGGATTTCGCATCACTAACAGTAATATGGTAACAATAGAGAATATAGATGTCTTTGAAGTATTGTTTGTGCGTGTTGGGACAAACAAGTGAGCAAAACGGATGTTAGATATATGGTTCTGGAAAAAAATAGTAAATCAGTTGATGAAATAGAGAATCTTCGTCCATTGAGGTGGTTGGGGCATAAATTGAGCGTGCCTAACCAGCGTCTACCTCAAAAAGTGATGTTGGCTGGTGTAGGAGGTTGGAAAGGTAACAGTAGACTGCCCAAAACATGATATCAGTCCACGAAGTTAATGGTAATTGTACTGAGGTATGTGGACTATTTAGATGGGAAGTGTGTGACTATCGTAGCTAGTTTTTTGAGATATTTTTTTCCTTTAGATCCTGAGTTTCAAGATTACTTTATACATCTTTCTCACAAAATCATCTTTTTTATATTGTCTGTGCTGATTGTTTTTTTCATATCCCTGGATTGGTGTTTATCGTTTCATTTCTCTGTGCTCATGTGCTGTAGAGACGAATGTGTCATGTTCTTCGTGCCGCTTGAGTGACTGGACATGCTTCTGAAGGATTATAGTATAATCTTGTTACTTGTTGCGAAGTAGGTGGCTGAGGTTAGGATTCAAAATTCAAAGGCCAAATACACTGACTATCAAGCAAGTATCCTCCCTTATCTTCATGAAGTATATTCCCCGGATTTTTGTGAGGATGAACTGTCTATCATTGTTGATAATTTGACTTTTTTGTACCTACGATCACACAGTACTAAGTAAAGCCATTACTATGATGAATGAGAAACTTTGACTTGTCAACCGTAGTACATTGGCGATAAACAAGTCTATGGCTAAGCCGCTGCAGTGATAAACGGTTCATCGAAGTCAAATTAGACTACAGTCGTCTCAAGTTATGCCAACCAGTTATAGTAGTAGTTTGGCTATGAACAAAGGTTTATTTATGAATTACTAAGCATATGCCCAAATGTTGTGTTGATGGCGAAAATGAACTTTTATTCTTAAGAGCTGTGCTGACGTGGTACGGCAACCTGAACTGATGTACTTATGTACGAAGTTCTTCGTTGTATCTGTCTCTCTGTCTGTGTCTTAAAAGCTGATTTGATCGTGTAACAATGATCGAAGACGGGTGGAAAATTTGATGAGACTATGGTTTGTGGACAACCCCTGAGAGACTCCAGAGTGACCTTAATAACATCAGTCTACTTAAAAATTCTAAAAAGAGTTATAAATTGGTGTGAGGAGTTAGAACTAGTACTTAGAGTTGGGAGTAAGAGTTAAGAAATAACGTTAGGCTTTTCGTCATAAAATAACATCAGCCATAATGCAAAAGATGTTATTTAGCCCTATGGATAGATGAATTTTACACTGAAGTCTACTACCCGTTATTTTAAATCTATGTGTGATAGTCCGGCCTCAAACTTTAACTGTTCGAGTTAAATGACTCAACGATATTTATTCTTACACCTATTTCCCAAGGGTTATTGTACTAGACAATATAGACATAAGCAGTAACTCAGAAGAATCAAAATAACCTTGCAAACTTATCACGAAGTTTAGAACAATATGCTCGAACAAACAGGAACTTATGATCTCATTGATACGGAAGGATACAGAAGTTTCAGGAATCCATATCATTAAAATTAGACGGAAAGATAAGGGTGAGTATATGTGAAAACGGAAAGTTAGTTAATAGAATAAACCTTTGATATACGAGAAAAGTCATACCAATCAGAGAGTTTGTAAATTCTTGGATCTACGACTTTAAAACACACTTCTGTAGTATAATTACTTAGGAAGTTATTATATGAGTTAGAGAACTCATAAAATTTATCCGAAGCACGGAATCCAGGACCTACCTAATTATATCGATAAAGTATAGCTCAAATTAGTGCAACCTTTAGCGTTCATGCTGACCTTGGCGGCAATTTCAATCAGCGAATTCCAATATTCAATATCTTTTTCACGAACTAGTATAAAGCAGTCAATTATTTTACGCTCTATTCATGTTCTGTCGGTTCCAGTTATTCGGTAGTGTTCAATGGACAGTTTTCTAGCCACTCGACTGCACTGATTCTAGTCATTTGGCAGTTATTTATGGGTTTGCATGTCCCGTGATTTTAGTGATTGCGTTTGTTTCAGAGTAGTCAGGGTACTGGATGCGCGCAGCTATCACGCTGTCAGGTCAGAGATCAGTTAGTATGGGGAAAAATGAACAGAAAATTCTGATTCCAATAAGATGGAGATTTCAGAACAAAGTAAATATATGAATAAACAAATAAATAAATTGGTTGTGAAGATTGTTTGTGAGACTGAAGTGCAAGCAAGGGTGAGGAAATAGAGATCATAAGCGAGATAGATTAAGTTAGTGATCTGAAGAAATGGTGACAATCACAACTAACAAGTCTGAAGACATGCATCAGGCACAGCTGGTCTACGAAGATAATTATCTGTATGTGAGTGTTTATCAAGTCAGTTCTTAAAGCTGTCCACTGAGGGGGTTGTGGTTATCTCGTCTGCGAGAACACTCAAATTTGGAACGACGCTTAATGAGAAAAAGTGTTTACGAACCTGGTTGTTTGCTCTCTGATACTCAATTTTTTGAGGGTTACTTCGAAGCATGCGGGGGTGATCTTCCGGCAAGATGGTTGCTATCTTGGTAAGTTTTATTCTTCAGCCCTATCACCCGTTTTGTTGCTCGTCTCTGAGCTCAATCCAAGATATTTATGTCTCTTTTAAGGAGAGGGGGTGTGACGACATTGTGAACTTCAAGATGTGGGCACTCACATATCTTAGGCAACGTTAAGAATAAGTCATGAGTGATATCACCGAGTTGTCTCAGCATAAAGTAAAGAGTTGCACTAGCTTTTGCTGCATCTCACATATAGCTCATAATAGCCTCTATGCTTTCAGTGGTTATTAGACTGAGATCGCGTTCTGAGGAAACATTAGGGGGCGGACTTCTATTGAGGGTCTAAGTCGTTTGTTTCACGTGGGGTAGAATGTTCATAACGTGACATTCTGACCGTTTTAGTATTAAACCGTTTGCCACTACCCATTCAGAGTGTACCACAATGTTCAATCTTCATGAGTGCTTCTAGCGTTGCTCGAAATTGGCCATTACGCTCTGTAAACTTGTAAATTATTTATTATCCTTTACCTTTCTCATATATTCTCTTATGGCACCTCGAGAAAATATTCTGCTGTGTTGTGAAGAATGCTGATGGTGGCTGAAAGTAGTTGTAGCAAATCTCTTGAAGTCCCTATGAAAATGCTGGTGGTTAGACATTCCTGGTAAGTGTTATCATATCTGATATTAACCATCCACTTCATTCATATATTTCACCTCGCATATCTTTTGGTAGAATATGACTTCCATACTTTGGAATCCGTTCTCGCAAGCATAGGTATAAAATCTATAATACTTTGTTGAGCAAATGAACTATGCGACGAATAAGTAGTGGGAGCTGACCTGCTCAAGAACTTGTATTCTCAAATAAGTGCTACATATAATTCCAACGTGATGAAAAAAGATTTCATCTAATTTCCAGAAAGTTTGTCTACCTAATTTTTAATTGTACTTATGTATGCAGTTATTGGTCTGTGATTAGATGGTTGGTTTTGTAATTGGGAATAAAATATTGAATAAGGTCTTTATTAGTGATAACAAGGAGAGTTAGTGGGTGAACCTGTGTTAATCATTTATGTTTGTTTTAAAATTAAGGTCCGGCTTACCTTGGAAGTGTTCACTTATTGAGCCGATGCCTCTTGTTCCGGTAGAGCGTTCCAGTGACTGACCGCTCTGAAAAACAAAGTGATGCTGTTTTTAGGTCACTGTTTCTAGGGTGTCGATTTCGGGAGAAAGACATTGGACAGCATCATATGTTCAAAATATTGACAGCAAGGGGATGGCATCGATCTAAGTTGTAACCCATGGCGACCCGATGACTCATCAAGTTTACAGTTAATGAGGGCCTGAAAAACGGCCGTCTCATTCAATAACATTTATTTAGGATGTGTTGCCACGTAAAGCACTGTTATCAATAGCAACACAGTAGAATTAGTCAAAATAGTTTGGCAAGTTCGTAACTTTGTCAATGTCTGAATTGTCACGAACATTGTGGGCATTCTGAGGCATTTATGCTTAGTTTCAAGGATTATGTGGTTGCAAATCAGTATTACCAAATGTTATCATCCCACACCTGATAAGGGGTTAGGTTGTCCCAGAGATCATCTAGCAATACAAATGGGGTTTAGTAATAAGGACTAACTTGGTGAATTTGCTGGAACACTTCGATTTGTCTATTATCGATCATATATTTCGAAGAAACTACATTTAAACGAGGAACTGAATTTGTTACAATGTTAGTAATGAATTTAAAAATTTTTGAACGCTGATGAATTGAATAGAATAATCACCCTTAATTTGTTTGCACGAAACTACAGAGAACAGTTTTTGCGAAGTGATTATTATTTTGCTGTTAAAAAATGTGATGAATTGAACTATATGATGAAATCATAGCCGGCATGGTTCATATGTTGTCAAAGGCCGTTTAAATAGAAGCAATGATTCGATTGCATTTAGAACAGCACATGAGCAAACATTATCGTTTTCATTTCAATCGTCATCAAGCTTTACTCCAATCACATGAATATTGATGTGAAAATGTTAAACTAACCTGGGCAGTTTGAGTCGATAATCGCAATGAAATAGATTACATAACAATATGTAGTAGGTAAAGGTACAAGTTGATAGTGGAAATACAGGCCTACTGACATTACTGATAAGAATCATAAAATACGATAAGAAAAGTTTTGTCAATAGTTCAACATTAGAAGTTATAAGTTAAACGTGGACATATAGACTTGAAACAATCATCACAAAAGATTAAAACCGTTACGTAATAAGAAGTGTATATAATTAGATAGTGAAGAATATAAACGAAAGGAGGCGGATCATTACAAACAAATACAGGATGTGAAAATAATGCTAATGATAGACAAAATAAAATGAATAATTTAAAATCGTTTGTTAAGTTATATCCAACCACGGAAGGGATAGGGGTACCATGAACTTCTTCTAAACGCATAAAATGGAATTGAATGTACGAATTTCTGTGGCTACTGCTATATGTAGGAGACGGGATCGAACTCCATTGGGAAATAATGGGCTATACGATAGATCACTCGACAATATCCAGATTTATCTGTTTTATGGTCGCTATCGATCAGATGTGTTTGGATAGAGCTACGTTTTGTTTTTATCTGGCCCTTCATAAACTATGCCGTGAGATGTTCACATGTAAGGTTCTTATTTCCGTATTGTTGATGTTAAGGTTTGGAATCGATTTCTCTTTCATTATAATATTTTTACAATAATACAATAAGAATGTCCTTTAGTTATCCATATGTCAGCTCTGGATTTACTATTTTTTCGATATTCGCTGTATTACATCAAAATTCTCCGACGATGAGACCAAACTCAGAGGTTCCCGACTTACACTTATTACATAGGACGAAGTCGTAGGTCGGACATAATTGATCATGATTTATTTCTCTTATAGTTACTAACTTTAGTCCCTTAACTATACAATATGCACCCAAATCATGCTTCTCTGATGTACTACATTGTACAGGAAAGTATCCTTTGACATATAATGTTACGTCTCCTCCGCGATTGAAAACTGTTTAGTGTTGACCAAGTCAAAACTGACTTTAATCACCACTAAATGCTTATTACGAACCCATCACTGAGAAGATAAATAAATACATGATAAGGAATATATTTGCTGGCGATTTCGTGGTGTCGAAAGAACACCGAAATCAAACCAGGAAAGTGGGAGAAATTACATAACTATTGGAGCGAAGAATGGCAGCAACACAAACAGAAAGTTTGAGCGTAAAAAGGTATCATGAACAAAAAGTACAGTTAAACAGTCACTGGTACAATTGGTTATATTAATGAGTATTTTTATTAAACCAATCTCGTTCTCTTCGTAAAAGTGGTTTCACTACAACTCTATAACTTGTAATACAGATATATCCTGGAATAATTATAGACTACATACACAACCAGCCAACTTTCTTTGACAGGAATCATATCTTTATTTAGTTCTTTCATCATCACGACTAAATCAGGTCTTCGGTTCCAGAGACTGTGAGCATTTGTGTAGAGCATACCTAAGGAGTTTTGGTTCTCACCCGTTCTAACCATACCGTTTTCGGAATTATTGGCTTCTGATATTATTTTGAAGACTCATGATTTCTGGTTTACTTGTGCAATCAGTTATTAGTGCTTAAAAAATCACATACCAAATACCTGGAACCGTGACAAGAATCGAGCGCAAAGAAATCAGTTGCTTTATATCAGCCCGTGAACATATTGGAGATATTGCATATTGGATTTGGCATTTCTGACCAACGAAAATTGGGGATTGAAAGGTCTGATTTTTAACGTTAAGTTTGAGTTAGACGTTACTTTTCGGCTCGGACTTCGTGGATTTTCTGTTTAGACTGTCCGTGAAATCCAATTTCCCAATATGGATGATACCGATCCATATTTTTGTATGCAAGATGAAGTTTGCAAAAATTTACAACTCACCAAAACGCTATATGAAGATTGGAAAAGCGGATCAGCTTCTGATGGTCAGAAGTTACTAACTAAAATCAGACAAACAGTCAAGAATATAGAATGGGACTTGATGGATCTACAGGTAATTTTGTCTCGTTTTGTGCTGTATGAGATTTTATTCTTGAGAGGGCTCCATTTTGAAGTACGATGGAACCAGTATATAAGTTCTTGTCAATACGAAATGTATCGTCTTGTGTATTTGTCTATGATCTGAAAAGGATAGGCATTTAATTGAAAATATTCTTTAAACCTTTAGTTCTATTATATCAATATTTCTGACATGTGTTTGGTGTAAATGTACACGTGAGTGCTATAAAACTGAAGTAAAAACCATGACTGAAATAACACATAACAGCACATGAGACATTTGTATTACAATCCGGAAATGTGATTCTTCTTCAGTTTGAATACCGTCTGTAGTGGTTTCGCATGTGTGCTGTGTTATTTGCGAGACTGTTATATGTGTTTTATCGGTGAAATTTACCCTAATCGCTAATCAAATTAAGCTTTTTTTCAAACAAGCCATCTTAAACATCTTGTTAACATTTAACTGTATTATAAGGTTGTTACTAGCCTTATTTTATGGTGTCTTATTATTCAGCGAAGTAAACTTCATGAAATAGTCTGACAAGCTGGGCACTGAATGTTAGTTCTATGTTTTTACCTGACGAGGCCTCAGTTTTACACACATTTCTAAACTAAGGGGTGGTGTAACTTTTCCCATGTACTTATGTACTCGGATTAGTCCAGTGCTATTCATGTATGGGGCTAGTAATAATTCCTTACTAACAAAGGACAGTAGGTGGAGCAAGTTCCAGAACTGATTGGTTGTTTGAAAACCTAATATCTCTAAATATGGATCGAATATGCAATTCCACCTTAATAAACCCTCGTTTGTCTAATAATCTATAGAGCAAGACTTAAAATCCCTCCTAAAACGGATTACGAACTGGGAAATTTTGTTACTATTCTAGTGTAATTCTTAAGCTAATTGTGATTCTTACTAAATGCATCGTAAACTCTCTCTCTTAACCAGTTAAACCATTTGTATCACAATCTTCAGTTTCGGAATATCGTAGTTTCTGTTAAAATAAGGGGAATATGAAAAACAATTTGATACCTGCAAATAGTGTTTATCAACCTGTATTTCATGTGACACGGAACAACACTATTCAAACTGCGATCAAGGGTCGCATTTTTTCCACAGTATGGTTATGAAATGAGTTAATGAATGAATAATGTTAAAGTGAGTAGAAAATGTAGCCACTACATAGTGTCAAGTCAGTAGGATCGTGTAAAACTAAAATCAAAGAATATTGTCTAGTATTGAAACATGTTCATAAGTCTTGTGTAGCCTACCTTGTAATGCGGTAAGAGTTAGTGAAACATCCAAGTTTTGCAGTCCATTATTAGTTGGTTTAAATACAACTTGGTTGAAAATATCTGGATAGATTCTTTTTACTTTATTACTTAAGTAACGCTTTTCTCGAAACTTTTATTACATGAAATTTGTTACAAGTTAACTGACATAAGTCATGACTGTTTTGTACAATTTTCTCCCCTACTCTCTTTCACTGTCTTCTGCTTTAATTAGTATCATTAATACTAGTTCTTAGTATTGTTTGTAAAATGTAGCAACATGAACAGATGCATGAGTCAGCAATGTCTCTGTTTAAGTTTTTAATTTTTTACTAGTTGATTAATCATTTGATTTATGGTTACACAGTCAGTTTAAGGATTATTTAGGCTTTTACTTTGACAGTCAGTTAGTCAGTTACAACGTGGAGCTTCATACTTATGTACATCAGTTTAGGTTGCCCCACCTTACCTCACGGACATTCTTAGGGTCGACCCTTTTCTAACCATTCCTTCCTTGTGAGAAGGCGGTGTCGCTGTAGATGCTGATTATCCGAGGGAAACACCTTACTTCTGTCAGACCTCTCTACAATCATCAGTACGACTTCACCCTCACACCTTCAGTTGCTGCTTTTAGTCTTATTGTTCTCCAATCGACCTAAAGGAACATATGTTCTAGCCAATGTAGCCCGAGTGGATCATCACGATAGGCAAGTCCGACCACCACGTCAAGGTAATGCCTACAGTTGGGCTTTAACTTTGACAAAATAGATTTTTACCAACGCCAAGTCCAACTTGATCACATCGCTATCAGCCACTGATGGACGGGTTCAATAGAAGACTGTCACTCGTTCTGAAACACTTGTTTAGATCCAGATCATGCTCTTGTGCCAGCACGTATTTGTGTGCGTCCTATTGGACATAGGAAGGGGACCTCAAGAACACCTAGGGTTTTACTTAAGGATAGGATAGCTATGAATATATTTCAGGAACTACTAGAGAAACAGTTAAGCGACTATGTAAATGATTCCCATCCCGAGACAGCTTGGAATGATATCCAGAAAGCCGCTAAAACAACAGTGATATCTGCTAGTAAGGTAAACCATAAGGTTAGGATAAAGCCTTGGATCTCAGTAGCATCCACCGAACTGATAGACGCTCGTAAACTCATCCCACCTGGCTCTGAACATGATGAAGAGCGAAGTCAGTTTAAGCGAAGGCTGGTAAAAAGCCTACGCAATGATCGCGAACAGTAGTGGGTAGCGAAAGCAAGAGCGATAGAAAAGGTGGCGGGGCGATAGGCAACAGTAGACAATTGCTCCATCTTATCGAGGAAACCGGTATTAGAAATCCATCTGTTGGCGAGATTATCTCAGAAAAGTATGGCCATATCATTCATTCTCAACCCAGGAGATTAGATCGATGGGCAGAACACTTTAGGGATCAGTTAAACTGGCCTTCAGCCACACTTCGATTGTCGACAGCTTTTTGGATATCATTGCAAGCTGTCTCGGAATGGGCATCACTTACTACATGTCTGCATAGCTTTTTTTCTGGTTGTTCCTGAAATATATTCATAGCTCTGCTATAATTAGGTAGAACCCTAACAGATTTCCGTGCGGTGTCTTTCCGAAGTCCAGTAAGTCGCATACAAATACGCGCCCACACTAGAGCATGATCTGAACCTAGACATGTGCCCCAGGACGAGCGACAGTCCTCTGTCGGTGGCTGATGGCGATGTAATCTAGTTGGGTCCATCGTTGGGTCAGCCCTGGTGGTCACGATGTCAAAAGATGTTTTTCCTTATGCTTAAAGTTTGTGTTTGCTAGAAATAGTTGGTTCTCTGAGCACAGTTGCAACAGACGGTCGCCATTAATTGTTTTTTGAGCCGCGACACCATAACATCCAGCTAGGTGTCTTTCCTTTTCACTTAGTCTACCTACTTGAGCATTAAAGTCACCAGCCATTATTACTATATCAGAGTGCCTAAACGTTTGAAGTAGGTCTGAAAGCTTTCCGTAAAACTCATCTTTAACCTCGTTTGAACTGCAGCCATTGGAAGCGTAGGCAGAAATAACGAAGGGGCAACACAGAGCTTCCCCATCTTTCCGAGTCCTGACTGTCCCGTTCAGTCGGACAGTGCATAAGCGACTGTCTACCGGGATCTACTCTAAAAAAGCTAGTTCTGCTTTAGGACGTAATACTATATCTACACCGTTTAGGCTACGGGAAGCACCATCAGGGCTTCCAGATACACGCAGAGTGCATCGAGTTGCTTCTTTACCTTGATATGGTGACGTCAAATGAGTGACGCTACTCGGATCCTGTATGCGCGTTTCCGAGACGCAGCATACATCGATGGTGCGAGATTCTTAAGTCCTAGCTGATGAAGCCTGTTTCCCTATTTGACACAATGCTCCGACATTAAATGCTCCAACATGTAATTTAGAATGGGGTTTCAGGAGACCAGGAATAACGTTTCGTGAACTCGCATCGTTTGTATCAGCGGTACGTGATGATAAAGGAATGTGAAAAGGGTGAGATGTGGAGATAAGAGAGATGTTAGGGGTTGTAGGAAGGATTTGGTCGTGACCAATTTGGTCTCGTGCGGTGTTACGGGTATGAGGGTGGATGTCAATTCCCGTCTGCCCACACCGTGGAAGGGTGTTTCTTGAGGAACCTAAAAAAAGGTAGATTAGCTTTGATCTTAGGGACCTGGGGGCGTGACCACAGAGCCCAAGGGACAACTGTCTAAGGCCGGTCACGCACGGCATTTTTATGAGTTTTTGAAGCGTTTGCTCCGTTCTTGTTTAAAAGCCCCTACCGCAGGAGACGGAAATCCGTATGCTGAGGTGAGGTGTGACATTTTTAGGGTCGACCTTTTCTAACCATTTCTTCCTTGTGAGAAGGCGGCATCTCTGCAGATGCTGGTTGTCCGAGGGAAACGCTCCACTGCTGTCAAACCCCTCTACAATCATCAGTACGACTTCACCCTTAGACCTTGAGTTGCTGCTTTCAGCCTTACTGTTCACCAGTCGACCTGCCTGCTACAGTAGAACCTACAGGAACATGTGTTTCAGCCAATGTAGCCCGAGTGGATCATCACGATAGTCAAGCCCGACCACAACGACAAGGCAGCAGCTATGGTCGAGTGAGAACTACCGAGGAAATTATCCACAAGATACAAGTGTTTATTAATAGTTGTCTACGCAATATACTGCAAATCTATTGGCCAGGCACCATTGGCATCAACTTACTGTGGAAGAGAACAAACCAGCACGTAGCTGGGGAAGAAATCAGGGTAAAGCGTTTGAGGTGGATAGGACATACATTGCGAAAATGACTTAACTACATCACAATGCAGGCCCTCACATGGAACTCTCAAGGCCAAAGGAAAAATTGTATACCGAGGAACACATCTGAAGCAAACATGAAACAAATGAAAGGCGATTGGATGGAACTGGAAAGGAAGGCCTAGGATAGCGTTGGTTGGAGAATGCTAGCCGAGGGCCAATACTCCATCAATGGTAATAGGAGTAAATCAGTAAGTAAGTAAGTAATATTAAGAATCGAACGAAAAGTACAATAATCTACATAAAATTTTCATATCATAACTTTAAGTTTATCCAACTCAACTGTCTCATTTTGTGTAAGTAACATTATTTACAAATTATTCGATCGGAAAAAACAGTTTGTTTAAACAATAATAAACCATTTTGTGTGTAGGTAAACAGGTCTATAGAATAAACATTAGTACAGTAATGATCGTTGGACTAATTTAAAATTGATTATCAAATACATTTTTTCCAAAAACAAACTGAATTTATTTGAAACCTGCTCTCCGATTTCAATGATTCATCAGTCAAAGTTTAAAAAGCCGAGTACTTGTTTGTTCTGTATTCGTGAACAGGTAGATAATCATAAGATCAACATAGTTTCGTAACCACAGATAGATTCGAACTGTCATCTGAATTATCTACATCAAGTGGTGTCCGTCAGGGATGTCTACTCTCTCCATTTTTGTTTAACTTTGTCGTAGACCTCCTCTTAGAGTTAACATTAAGCTCGTCAGATTTTTCAGGGGTTGACCTTCTACCAGGAAAATCGCTTACTGATCTAGAATATGCTGATGACATAGTTCTATTCGGTGAAGACGCTGACAAAATGCAGAGTCTTCTGACTACCATAAGCAACAATGCAAGCATGTTCGGTATGCGGTTCTCACCCTCAAAGTGCAAAATGTTGCTTCAAGACTGGGTTTCATCAGCACCTGAACTAGTGATAGGGAGTGAAGTAGTCGAGCGTGTTGACCGCTTCACTTATCTCGGGAGTCTCATCAGCGCCGATGGCCTGGTGACTGACGAAATCTCAGCTCGGATACAGAAGGCTCGATTGGCTTTTGCCAACCTGCGTCACTTATGGCGTGGGTGTGATATCCGTTCGCTGACCAAAGGACGGGTGTACTGCACAGTAGTTCGTTCCGTTCTCCTATATGGCTGTGAAACATGGCTGTTAAGAGTAGAAGATGTTCGTAGGTTACTAGTATTCGATCATAGATGTTTAAGAAGCATTGCTCGTATATCGTGGGACAGCCGAGTAAGCAATGCTGTCGTTAGGAAACGGGTCCTAGATAAGCATGGCAGATCAATAGATGAAGTAGTGAAACTTCATCAGTTGAGGTGGTTGGGACATGTGTTACGTATGCCTAACCACCGACTGCCTCGACGAGCTATGTTTTGTGGTGTAGGAGTAGGTTGGAAGAAAGCTAGGGACGGCCAAACCAAAACATGGCAGAAATCCATGAAGTCACTGACAAGTGGACTGAGTCATGTTGGTAGATGTAGACTACCTGGTTGGGGTCGGCGAAACGAAAGTCACCAATGGTTAGAGACCTTGAACGACATGGCTCAAAATCGTTTGCAATGGCGCAGGTGCATCTACTCTTTGTGTTCTCTCAAATCCTAATCTTCTGTGTTCTTCAATACCTCTACTTTTGACTTTCTAACCTTACCTCACCGAATTATACTTCTTGAATAATATCTTCAAACCCTAGTCTTCTTCATTAACATTAATACCCATACTATCTTTATCACTATGGGATTTGATTTGACATTTGCGTCTGTGTGCTAATATGGTATGGCAACCTGAACTTATGTAGATACGTACGAAGTTCTACATTGCAACTGACTGGCAGATAGGTTAGTACACGTAAGTTATTTACTTCCAGCGTTGCAAAATTGGAAAAGAGAAGCGTAAAAATTGTTGTAAGAATGTGTAGAATCTTTCAGAAAAAAAAACCAGACATCCTAATACTTTTCTTTACAAGTGACTACTGTTCTCAAAATCTGTACATGATGAAAATGATAGACAAAAAGTTTTGGGTTACCATAAGATGCGTAATTTAAACTATTGGCTACATTGAAGCTGGATATATGTACTTATAAAAACAGCTCTCCTGAAGCTAGTCTTTATTGTCTAACCTGCGTTCAATGTGTTTCGCTGATCCCAAGCACCTCCAGTTTGTGTCTTTTCATTTCTGTAGCCACTTGGATGACTTTCTCGGTCTCTCATATTGTAGGAAGATTCCATGTACTTAAACTGATGGTCACTCTGGTTGTCAGAAGGGGCATCGGCCTCGCAACTTCCGAAGGAACCCGGTATTCATCATGAGACATTATAACTCTTCTAAAGGAAGACTTCCTAACTGCCAGGGCCGAGTTTAAATGGTTTGAATTATTTTTTTCTGGTTAGCATTTACTTAGCGAATTTATTTTCTAAGGGATAAGGTTGCTAACCCCATGCCCAATCCTCCTCTTTTATCCGGGTTTGGGACCGGCTGTAGCCCCGGAGGGTCTACAGGCGGAGTTATGTATTATGTATGCTCAGCTGCCACGACGAGCGATGTTTTGTGGTGTAAGTTAGAAGAAAACTAGGGGTTGCTAAATCAAAACATGCCACTAAAATCCATGAAGTCACTGACAACTGAACTGAACCATACTTACTACTAGTTGTCGACTACCTGCAAGATGATTGTAATCAATGGTTAGAGATCTTAAATGACATGGCTCAAGTGCATCCATTCTTTGTGTTCTTCCAAATTTTAATCTGAATTCCTCATAACCTTCGTCTTCCTTATCCTCTCGTTTATTTTACTGGATTATACTCCTTGAATATAACATCTTCAAACCCTAATTTGAATGGACAGATTGACTAAACTAAAGCTGTATTGATTTGTGTTTGAAACCACTTATCACGTTAAGTGCTTTAGGTACTGCTGTGCTGTTACGGGTATGAGGGCGGTTATCACTTCCCGGCTCCCCACACCGTGGAAGGTTGTTTCTTGAGGAACCTGAAAAGGAGGATAGATTAGTGTTGGTCTTAGAGGCCTGGGTGCGTCACCGCAGTCTAACGGAGAACTGCATGAGGCCGGTCACCACGCACGGCCTTTTTATGAAAGGATTTTTGAGTATTAGCTCCGCTCTTAAAGGCTCTTAGTGTGCACCTTTACCGACGGAGACGGAAATCCGTGAGATAGGGGAGGTGTGACATTTTTAGGGTCGATTTGTTCTAACCCTTCCTTCCTTGTGAGAAGGCAGCAGTATCGCTGCAGATGCTGGTTGTCCGAGGGAAACACCTTACTGCCGTCACGCCCCTCTACAGCCAGTCAGCAATACGACTTCGCCCTCAGACCTTGGGTAGCTGCTTTTAGTCTCATCGTTCTCCAATCGACCTGCCTGCCTGGCATGGTAGAACCTTCAGGAACATATGTTCCAGCCAGTATAGCTCGGTTGAGTCATCACGATAGGCAAGCCCGACCACCACATCAAGGTAGCAGCTTCGGTCGGGAGGTACTGCTCTAGATATACAGACGAAGAAAATCACTGAGTACTTATTTTTACACTGTTCTCTAGTTCTTCACTGTTATTCTACATATATTACATGAATACATTCACAGCCGTTTTTATGAAGTCTCATTTATTGGAGAATACTTTTTTAATCTAATTTTTATCATAATTATTTCTAGGAAACTATTGCAGCAGTTGAAAATAATCCTACCAAATTTCATTTATCCGATAAAGATATATCAGCAAGACGTCAATTTTTGATAGAAGCTAAAAATGTTGTCAAAAATGTAAAAAATCATTTAAACAAATCCGATAATAATAATAGTAATAACAATAATGGTATTAATAAAAGAAATGACTCATCGATTATTGATTTCACAGTTCATACTGCACCGCATCCTTCATCAGCTCCGGCACCTCCACCAGCATCAGTGTTGTGTAATGGAGATTTAAAAGTAAAGTAAGTGACGCCAAAAATTTCATTTTTATGTGAATGGGTTTAATTAAACTTATCAATCAGAGGCTTTTTATATATTGAACACTTAATTTTATATATGCCAGTCAAAGAGGTTACCCATGTGTTAATGGATTCGGGATTCGAACCTGGAAGTTCAAAGTTAAACGCTTATTCCACTAATTCACTTGTGAATCATTTTTGGATGAGTCCCATACCAGGACGAAACGGCCGTCCAGTGCTTCCAGGTTTCTAATGATGTTCTAACAATGATTGGTTGATGATTTCAAATGTGTAAAAACACAAAACCTGCAAAACTCTTCCCGAAAATACCGTAAAAGTGCTCACTAGTGACTAGCTTCATGAGGAAATTCTCGGAAATCTAGTTGAGAAGACATGACCAATGGAGTTCAACCCTGTCGGGTGTAGGCAATAACTACCAAAGACAAACGGGTGAGGTCGCGCAAATTCCCTAGATCAATCAGAATTACACTTTAACACCGTTAGATGCCGGCCCAGTGGTCCGATGGTTAGGCGTTCGCGCACAATACCGAGGGTCCTGGGTTCGAATCCTGAGAGATGCAGGAGTCGTGGATGCGCACTGCCACTGATGAGTCCCATACCAGGACGAAACGGCCGTCTTTCAGTGCTTCCAGGTTTCTAATGGTGGTCTAACAATGATTGATTGATGATTTTAAATGTGTAAAAACACAAAACCCCCAAAACTCTGCCCCAAAATATTTTTGGATTTGTTATAACTAGAAATTGATCGATATTTGGGAAAGATTAAGTAATCAGAATCTTGTAGCATTTTCCTGTACCCTGCGTATATTATTTGACTTATTGCGTAGCATCTCAAGCTTTGGTCGATCACACGCTTCTACTATCACAATTCACCTTGATTCAAGGCCGAGGTGATGTTAACTTCTATAATGGTCCAGAACATTTTTCTTCCTACTCTAGACTAATCTTCATTTCGGTAATAGAATGTACTAATTGATAATTCAGTAGTATGTCAACTTATGCAATAATATAAATCAATTTCCTAATCGTGCATCAACGTGAATATTCAATGACAGCATAGATATAACTTTGTCAAAATTGGAAGAAGACAGGAAAAGGATGAATGATTAATTAACCATAATTAAGCAATAGTAAAGCGTATAGCAATAGTTAATGAGATTCAGTGGGTGCTGTTACGCCTGCACGTAAACACGTCAACTTGATATACTTGAACTATTACGAGTTTACCTAGTCGGGAAACGAGAGCGACGATCGAAGATCCGGCGACAAGACATGCTACTCAAATCCGATTATCTCAACCTCCATCGAATAAAAATAAGAAGACTTGAATGTGAAGTAGAACCTGTATTCTACAGGCATCCAGAAAGTACTAGGTCCGAATCCAGGATCCCGGACTAGGAATCCGGGACTGGGTCCTGGTCCTGGTCATAAGACGTTACAGATAATGCGTATTTATACATTTCGGTCGAACAGGAAACAGCATCGAAGTCTGTGACATTGACAGTTAAGAGGTCCAATAGGAAGCAACATTTGAAGTGACACTGATAGTTAGGACAACCAAAAAGAAACAACATTGGAGCATGTGACATTGATATCTACTAAGACGACCATAAAATTGACCAGTAGGAATTAACCAATAGGAATTGACCAATAATTCTATTAGGATATTGGATAAATATCTTAACAGTGCTTACTACAATGAGGTACAGTAATACAATTATCTAATAATTTGTACAAATGAAATATGGATAATGATAGTTTTTACGATGCGAGCATCATTACACCATCTTCAGTATTTGTTCTGTTACAGTCAGATTATATCTAGAACTTGTGATCTTATTTTACGTCACTTTAACCTCAGAAATGAAATACATTCAGCAAGAGTTTGTTGGCCCATCATGATTTGGCTCCAATATTAATGAATGATCGATTATGTTATGAAATAAATCTCCCCATCGTTAGGAAACGGGTGCTAGGTAAGGATGGCAGATCAATAGATGAAGTAGTGAAACTTCATCAGTTGAGGTGGTTGGGACATGTGTTACGTATGCCTGACCACCGACTGTCTCGACGAGCTATGTTTTGTGGTGTAGGAGTAGGTTGAAAGAAAGCTAGGGGCGGCCAGACCAAAACATGGAAGAAATCCATGAAGTCACTGACCTGTGGTAAATATATGCTAGCTACCTGGTTGGGGTCGGCGAGACGAAAGTCACCAATTGTTAGAGACCTTGCATGACATGGTTCAAAATTGATTGCAATGACATAGGTGCATCCATTCATTGTGCTCTCTCAAATCGTAATCTTCTGAATTCGTCTGCACCTCTACATTTGTCTTTCTAACCTTATCTCACTGAATTATACTTCTTGAATAATATCTTCAAACCCTAGTCTTCTTCATTACCATTAATACCTCTACTATTTTTATCACTATGGGATTTGATTTGACATTTGCGTCTATGTGCTAATGTGGTATGGCAACATGAACTTATGTAGATACGTACGAAGTTCTACATTGCAACTGACTGACCGACCCCTTCAGTTTCCGTATATCATGTGCTTAGGCGAACTGCGTTTGTGCGACGGCGGTAATAAGAATCTAATACGGATTCGGTTGGATGAATTTATTCCAGGCAGTCGTTCATGAAGACATGATAATGAAAAGCATACAAGCAAAGCGAAGCGGAGAAGGCTAGTAAGCCAACTCCCTTCGATGAAGCTTGACTAAGCATTTGTAGTGAGACAAAATAAACCAGGCATGTAATAAATGAGATAGGCGTGCATACACACGACTAAAAGCGACGCAAATATGAGCGAAGGACTGACAAAAAAGTCACAAAACCAGTGAGCTAATTAATTTGTCTAAAAGCTGCGATAAACCTTGTGGGCTAGACATAAAAGCACTCACTACAAGTTCTCTAATACTCTCAATCGGCTAATGGTTATTCTGATGACATTGTGAAAACCAGCTTTTAAGCTTATTGGTAATCTACTGCCTTTCACCTGTGGTTCAATACTCTTCTCTTAAAAGTAGTTGGTTAGTCTAAGAATAGCTATTACATGTTTTTTTAGTGGATCGGTTATCTGCATCAGAATATTAAGAACAAATGTAGTATTAACTAATTGAATTGAAAACTATCGTTCATTGTAATCAGATTTGATGAGTTGAAACGAATGATAGAATCATGGAGTAACTGATAGACTATATTCAGGAATTTCACTGTTTACCTACAACCTAACGGCAAGGTTATTTTACAATATCGATCCTAGTATGCGCTTGAAGTTTTTCTCCAATAGCCTATAATTCGTCTAAGTGTGTAGTTGTATCTGTAAATTGAAGTTCACATTAGTAGAACAATCAGAAGACGTAATTGATTGACTAATCAAGGTATTTCATTGAAATCCTGGATCGATCATTGTTAGACCGCCATTAGGAACCTAGTAGCACTGGACGGTCGTTTCGTCCTAGTGCGAACCCAGGACCTTCGTGTGAGAACGCATAACCTCTAAATCATTGAATTGGTTTCATTGTTTAACTTTGATCAATCTAAAGATTTTGTGTAATCGCATTCAGCAGACCGCCTAGACACTCCACTGCACTGGTGGTGGGTTACGACTTCATGATTTCAATGTAAACCCGACCGAAGCTGCTACCTTGACGTGGTGGTCGGGCTTGCCTATCGTGATGACCCAACCGAGCTATATTGGCTGGAACATATATGCCAGTGTTGAGGATGTTAGATCCCCAAAATTCGCTTGATAATGCCTTATTTTGGTTTTCACGTTTGCGAGCATGGGCTGACCAGATGACCTTGAGATTTCAATTCCCACCAGGAAAATCCATGGCTGTGATTGGCTGCTGTGTACTTTAGTGTGCTATTTACTTAACTGTCTCAAGGACATTTCTGTGTTGCATAAATAAACGAGAGTTGTATGCTTGATTGGACTGTGATTGCTGGGTGTTTGTAGAATATACTTCTACGCTTACAAAGCCTTTTATTTCGACTTTGGGTATTCAAGGTAGCCTACCTGGACGCTGGTAATTGTCTCGTTCGCGTTTATCGTCTAAGTTAAACTCGTAATAGCCTCAAGCATACTAAGTGACGAACTTATCAGCCAGACAGGTTGATTGGAGAACGATGAGACTAAAAGCAGCTACCCAAGGTCTGAGGGCGAAGTCGTACTGCTGACTGTGATGGAGGAGTTTGGCAGCAATAAGGTGTGTCCCTCGGACAACCAACATCTGCAGCGATGCTGCTGCCTTCTCACAAGGAAGGAAGGGTTAGAACAAATCGACCCTAAAAATGTCACACCTCCCCTATCTCACGGATTTCCGTCTCCGTCGGTAAGGGTGCCCTCTGAGGGCTTTCAAGAGCGGAGCTAACACTCAAAAAACCTTTCATAAAAAGGCCGTGCGTGGTGACCGGCCTCAATCAGTTGTCCCTCGGACTCTGCGGTCACGCACCCAGATCTCTAAGACCAACACTAATCTATCCTCCTTTTCAGGTTCCTCAAGAACACAACCTTCCACGGTGTGTGGGCACCCTCTCTATAACTCTTTCTATTTTCTATTTTCTTTTTTGTATGAAACTCAGTAATCCAATTCCAATCACAAACAAAGTATCATCATCATCATCGCCCAACATGATGAAAACCACAATCAATACTCATCAAAAAACCGCATCATCATTATTACCTTCTTCAGATATCTACTCCACTAAACCTTTTCATCATCCTTTAACACAACAAAAACAATTATTATCCGACCAAGATAATCAACTAGATCAATTAAGTACAACCATATCAAATTTAAAAGGTATGTCACAACGTATCGGTGATGAATTGAGTGATCAAGTTATGCTGCTGGATGATTTCAATTCAGAAATGATTAGTACTGAGTCAAGATTAGATTCTATCACTAAACGTACTGCACGTCTATTACATTTGAATACAGATCGTCGTCAATGGTGTGCTATATTCTCATTGCTGGTGACATTCATTGTGATATTGATTTTATTTGCTATTCTATAAGAGAAGAGGAGGAGGAGGAGGAGATGGTGCTGTTCATCATCATCTGAAATGCATATTGAATCATTTTGTATGTATAAACACGCTTTTGTATCATAGTACTCTACTTACTGTTGTTGTCTTCTGTGTGTGCGTGTGTTCGTTCATTCATCTCCATGATTAATTTTTTTCTCTCTCATGATTTGCTTGATTTAATTTTTCTTGTTTTATGTTTTGGTGGTCCTAGTTTAATTTATTTACTGTTCTCTCTCTCTCAAAAAAAACAAAATATTCTTCAACATGTGTTGTTGCTGGTGTTGTTTTCAATGTACAATGTGTGATGTGTGATATTTTTTGTGTGATGGTGAATTGATCATTGTTATTATGATTATTGACTAAATTCCTTTGTACACCTACCTATTTGTCTGTGATGATGACGATAAATACAGTCAGAGGTTTTTTTGAAATCTAGACAATTGTCGCCGTTCTTGTTTTGTTTTTTTCGGGTAAAGTTTTGGAGGTTTTGTGTTTTTTTTAAACACATTTTTGAAATCATTAATCAATCATTGTTAGACCACCAACATTAGAAGAAACCTGGAAGTACTGAAAGACGGCGGCCGTTTCGTCCTGGTATGGGACTACTCATCAGCAGTGGCGAAGGCGAGATATCCGTTTGCTGACTAAAGGACGAGTGTACTGTGCAGTGGTTCGCTCCGTCTTATTTTATGGCTGTGAAACATGGTCATTGAGAGTAGAAGATATTCGTAGGTTACTGGTTTTCGACCATAGGTGTCTTCGAAGCACTGCTCGTATATCGTGGGACACCCGAGTGAGCAATGGTGTTACTAGTTAACGGGTACTAGGTAGGAATAGCAAATCAATTGATGAAGTATTGGAATTTTCATCAGTTGAGGTGGTTGAGACATGTGTTACACATGGCTAACCACCGACTGCCTCAACGAGCTATGTTTTGTGGTGTAGGAGTAGGTTGGAAGAAAGTAAGGGGCGGCCAGACCAAAACATGGCAGAAATCCATGAAGTCACTGACAAGTGGACTGATACATGTTGGTAGATGTAGACTACCTGGTTGGGGTCTGCGAGATGATAGTAATCGATGGTTAGAGACTTTGAACGACATGTCTCAAAATCGTTTACAATGGCGCAAGTGCATCCATTTGTTGTGCACTCTCAAATCCTAATCTTCTGGATTCTTCAACACCTCTAGTTTTGACTTTCTAAACTTTTCTCACTGAATCATACTTCTTGAATAATACATTCTAATCCTAACCTCTCCGATTACTTCTAATACTTTTACCACCTCTACTACTATTGGATTTGAATTGACAATTACATGTCTGTGCTGATGTGGTATGGCGACATGCACTGATATACTTTCGTACGAAGTTGTACGTTGCATCTGACTGACTGACTGTCTCATTAGTGGCAGTGCGCATCCACGACTCCTGCTGCACCTCGCAGGATTCGAACCCGGGACCTTTGGCATTGTAGGCGAACGCCTAATCATCGGACCACTGAGCCGGCATCCAACGGTGTTAATGTCTAACTCTGATTGATCTACGGATTTTTGCGCGACCTCACCCATTTGTCTTTGGTAGTTACTGCCTACACCCGACAGGTTTGAACTCCATTAGTCACCTCTTCTTAATTAGAACTCGGAGAATTTCTTTACAAAGCTAGTCATTGAACAGTTTCAATGTCCAATTGATTGGTTCTGCATAATAATACCTAGTACGAATTATATTTGGAAATGAATGATGAAGATAGTTTCTTTTGTTGTTGAAAACTGTGTGTAATGCAGGTTCGAATCCCTTATACACACAGAGAGAAAGAGAGAGTATCAGTTCCTTGAAGATTGTAGATAGGCTTCGCTTAACATGAAATGTAGAAAATAAAAGGAATATTTTTGATGACTACTTCTAACCATATTACGTTTTGGTTATTCTGTCTGCAGCTGCCTCTTAGTCTACTCCTGCATCAGACAGAATTGCATGTAGCGGTAATGTGAAGTTCAACCTTGTCAGATGTAGGCAGTAATTATTGAAAGCAGTGGGTGGGGTTGAACAAAATCTTTAGATTGATCAAAGTTAGGCAATAACACCGGCAGATACCGGTTCGCTGCTTTAGAGGTTAAACATGTTACCGGAGGTCATGGGTTCGATTCCCGTGAGCGGGCTTTGTAGATGCGCACTACTTATGAGTTTTATGCTAGAACGAAATGGCCGTTCAGTGCTTCTAGGTTTCTTCTAATGGTGGTCTAACAATGATTGATTCATAATTTTAGTGGGAAGCAACGATTTCCGTAATTCTATAATCGATAATTAAAAATCGTGTGAAAACTTATTTTGACTAATCGTTCTATCCCATCCAGTGTACTTAAAATCACTACTTTGTAGTACAGATGGAATTCTTCGTCGCCAGTACTAAACGTGTTATTAATGAAAGAGCCTGAAATTGTATCATTTGGCTGATCGATTAGCCAGCTGAACTGAACAATTTATAAACTTCGAGAAAAATATCTTGTTCATTCAGAAATTCAATTTAGGTACGTTTCTGACTCTCAATAGTTTGAAAAAGATTCTTTTAATGAGTAAGTGAAGTGACTTCTACTTTGTGTCAAATTTATAGTCGTATTTCGAAGACACTATTCCGTTTGACTAGCTAAATGAAATAAGGAGATTCGCAATAGTTTAATCGTCGAACACCCGAATATTTCATGATCCCAAACTAGATTATCTGTTTGGAATAAATAATCCTGTGTTTTTAGTTCCAGGCTGTAGCTGCTACTTTAAAGTGGTGGTCGGACTTGCCTATCGTGATGACTCAACAGAGCTATATTGGATGGAACATATGTTCCTGTAGGTTCTTCCATGCCAGGAAGGTCGATTGGAGAACGATGAGATGCGCTGTCCGACTAAACGGGACAGTACGGACTCGTAAAGACAGGGACACTTGCCGTTGCCTATTCGTCGTATCTACCTACGCTCCCACTGAATGCAGTTCAGACGATGTAAAAGATGAGTTTTACAGAAAGCTTTCGGACCTCCTTCAGAAAGTTAGGCAATCTGTTGTAGTAAGAATAGCTAGTGACTTTAATGCTCAAGTAGGTAGACTGATTGAAAAGGAAGGATATCTGGCTGGATATTGTGGTGTCGTGGCTCAGAGAACAGATAATGGCGACCGTCAGTTGCAACTGTGCTCAGATAACCGCCTATTTCTAGCAAATACTAACTTTAAGCATAAGGGGAAACATCTCTTGACCTGGCGACTCCCAGAACTTACCCAACTAGATCACAGCGCTATCAGTCATCGATGGAGGACTGTCGCTCGTCCTGGGGCACAAGTTTACATTCAGATCATGCCCTAGTGCGAGCGCGTATTTGTTTGAGGCTCACTGGACGTAGGAAAGAGACCGCAAGGAAACCTCTTAGAGTTCAACTTAATGATACACATAGCTAAGAATATATTTCAGTAACAACTATAACAACAGTTAGGCTGCCATGTAGCTGATCCCTATACGGAGGAAGCTCGGAACGATATCAAAACGGCATTGATATCTACTAGTAAGGTAAAACATAAGGCTAGGAAGAAGACATAAATCTTAGTAGCATCCGCCGAACTGATAGCCGCTCGTTAACTCATCCCACCTGCCTAGGGGCGGCCAAACCAAAACATGGCAGAAATCCATGAACATACTGACAAGTGGACTGAGTTATGTTGGCAGATGTAGGGTACGCGAGACCTAAATCACCAATGGTTAGAGACGTTGAACGACATGGCTCAGAATCGTTTGCAATAGCGCAGGTACATCCACTGTTTGTGTTCTCTCCCATTCTAACCTGAATTCCTCATCATCTCTATCTTTCTCTTTCTAAACTTATCTCACTGAATTATACTTCTGGAATCATATCTTGGAAACCTAATCTTCTCTATTACTGCTAATACTTCTACTATCTCTACTACTATGGGATTTGAACTGACAGTTGCGTTTCTTTGCTGATGGGGTATGGCAACCTGAACCTTTATACTTATGCGCGAAGTTCTACATTGTAAGTGACTGTGTTTTCAGTTAGAAAGATTTTATTAGCTTTAATTTATGATAGGATTTGCATTACGGGGTTACGGAGATTGTTCCTTTACCTTGTAAAAATCATCGATCGATCGATGTTAGACCAACATTAGAAACCTTGAAACAATGAAAGACGGTTGTTTAATCCTGGCATGGGACTTATCAGCAGCGCGCATTCACCTAAGAACTTCGGTCATGCGCGCAGACGCTTAACCTCTGGACTACTGATCTGATTTCTAAAGATGTCTGACTTCGGATTTGTTCACTTGACTAAGAGTCAGTCATAAAACAGAAATAATGTCCGTCCCATCATTCAGAATTATTTTTTTCTGGTTAGCGTTTTTTTGGCAAGTTAGTTTTTGACGGAATGGGGTCGCCAACCCCATGTCCAACCCTTTTCCTTTACCCGGGCTTGGGACCGGCAGCAGCCCCGAAGGTTCTCTTTCTCCTGGTCATCGACTGGATTATGAAAACGTCAACATCTGGAGGGAAGCACGGTATCAACTGGACAGTTAGGACGCAGCTGGACGATCTGGACTTCGCAGATGACTTGGCTCTTCTATCGCACACTCAACAACAAATGCAAGAAAAGACAACCAGTGTAGCAGCAGCCTCTGCAGCAGTAGGTCTCAACATACATAAAGGAAAGAGCAAAATTCTCCGATGCAACACAACATGCACCAATCAAATCACTCTTGATGGAGATGCCTTGGAGGACATTAACACCTTTACATATCTGGGCAGCATCATCGACGAGAAAGGTGGATCCGATGCAGATGTGAGGGCACGGATTGGCAAAGCATGGGCTGCATTTCTACAGTTGACAAATATCTGGAACTCCAAACAGATATCAATCAACACCAAAATCAGGATTTTCAATACAAATGTGAAGACAGTTCTAATGTATGGAGCGGAAACATGGAGAACTACCAAAGCCATCATCCAGAGGATACAAGTGTTTATTAACAGCTGTCTACGTAAAATACTTCGTATTCGTTGGCCAGACACCATCAGCAACAACGAACTGTGGGAGAGAACAAACCAGATTCCAGTGGAGGAGGAAATGAGGAAGAAGCGGTGGAAGTGGATAGGACACACATTGCGGAAAGCACCTAACTGCGTCACGAGACAAGCCCTCACATGGAACCCTCAAGGCAAAAGGAAAAGAGGAAGGCCAAAGAATACATTACGCCGAGAAATAGAGAAAGATATGAGAGGAATGAACAAACATTGGACAGAACTGGAGAAAGAAGCCCAGGACAGAGTTGGTTGGAGAAAACTGGTGTGCGGCCTATGCTCCATTGGGGGTAACAGGCGAAAGTAAGTAAGTAAGCATCATTCAGAATGTCGTATCTCTGGTCAGTCTTTTCTCGGCGAACTACTCATCTTTTTATTATCTCTTCTGCAAGCATTTTCACGCAGGAAAGAGATTATATCTTCTGAACATAATACGTAGATAGCTAGAACACAAATTCAATATACATCAATTTTTCACTCAATTTATGAATATATATATATACTACTATTATTAATAAATTAGTAGGCAAAAAATGAATGCGAAATATTTTTTTTATTACATAAAACAGTTTAATTTTAATTTGAAGAATATTGTTTCATTTAACTTGGAAAGACTTTGGAATAGTTTGTTTGTTTGTTTTTAAAAAAAAAAAATTACTTGAGCATGAGGCCAAAACACAAATTTCAATTGTTTTCTATTACACAATGCAAGACGGGCCAGAATTAGATGAATAAGGGGGGCATAATAATCGGAAGGAAGATAGGAAGATATCTTTATCTGTCTGTTCGTCATCGCCTCATTGAACAAACACAATTCTCTTCAAAACTTTTGATTATATTCAATTTACATGAATGTCCAACTAGTTGATTATTGATTAACTAACTAAGAAGGATAGTGAATGAGTTTTTATCGCTTGATATTTATTTATACATTACATTATAGTTTCTTGTCAAAATACAAAATGCTTTGAGTGTATACATGTTTTGATTGATTTAAATCAATCCACTAACTACTGATTGTTCCATTCAATTGGGCTTTATTAATTTCTTGTATATAAGTACCAGATTTTCTTGGCAAATCATGATTATTGATCATATCTACCACAGGTGTACTATTCGCAAAATGATCTGATTGATAATTTCTAGTGGAATTAGTCATCAATTCAATCAACTGTTGTTGTTGTTGTTGTTGCTCTTTATGATGTGGATATGGACGTGTTTGTAAATAAGTTGGATAATCAGCACAATACAATGTTGATTGTGTTGGCGGTAATGGTTGTTGATTAGTGTAATTGTTATTCGGTGTTGTTAACCCGACCGATGATATGTTTGATGAACAACCGACTGGTAGATTTGCTTGCCATGTAATAATCGGATTCATAGTTTGTGTCCATTGCATAGTTAAAGGTGGAATATTTGCTGAAGTTTGAAATAATCCATTGTTCAATTGATTGCCTAGATCATTACGATTTTGCTGCTGTTGATGATGATGTTGAGTAGTAGTAGTAGTACTAGTAGTGCCGCCATTCATAGGAAATAAAGATTGAGCAGCTAGATTAAGAAATGATTGTGCTGCACTAGGATTTAAACTATTATTATTATTATTATTATTATTATTATTATTATCTGGAGGCTTTAAAATACATCGCTCACCACCAGTAACTAATGTTTCCAACGGTCTAGGCACATCGTATTCATGACTGCCCGCCACTGAATAGGCATATTCAGGCATTGGCCAGTAAGCTGGATTTGGCGGTGGGGTGGAATTAGCTTCTAGACGTGGATTTGGAACAGTTGTAAGTAATAACGCCTGAGGGATATTCGGTCTACGAGCTGAGATCGTCGTTGAACCAAACTGTGACGGTACAGATGGTGTTGTCGTTGTTGTACTGCTTGCTAACACCATATCAGCAAATGCAGTTTCCATATCACTGCGTTGTAACAGCTTCACATCTAAACTATGCCCATTTTGATTTGAATGATTCATAGTAGACTGATGCTTTGTGTTGTGCCGTAACAAATGATCATTATTACTGGTACTATTATTACTGATCCAAGCAAACCATTTCCCATGTGATCTAAATTGAGATTTCCGTATATATTTCGTTGATAAATGATTATTAATTTGACAAAACCATGTAAAACAATTTGTTGCTAAATATAATAATGCCAAAGTAGCAATAAATGTTCCGATAATAGCACCAATTAATTCTAACAATGTAAATCTTTTAATAAATAAATAACTATACGTCTGTTGATTGTTATCATCTTCATGAAATGGATTAGTAGTTGTCTGTTGATTACTGATCTGTGTAGCTGTAGTCGGCAGTGATGCAGACGACGACAGTGGACTTCTACTATTGTCATTGTCTAGTGGAGTGGATTGTTTACGGTGAGACAAACTTGATGACCCATCAATAATGATAGGATTAATCAGTAGTTCAGATGATCTCAACGGTCCAGACACACGTACAGTCACTTCATGAAGTCGATAATATTGAAATTGACTATGATGATGCTCCGCTGTTGGAACAATCAGCGATGTCGGTTTAAATGTATTACCATCAGCTGAAGGAAATGATGATGTGGCGGCGGCGGCTAGTGTAGATGATGACAATCTGGGCGGTATTCTATCATTATTCCATATGGTACATGTGAAATTTTCAATATTCACTGAATTCAAACTAACATTCAACGCCAATTTTCGTTCAATCATTTTATTGCCTGACATGGAGGATTGACTTTCAGACTGTGAAAAGTATTGATCATTGAAAGTTTGTTTTATGGAAGGATCTAGAATTTGTTGTACTTTTTGTCCATGTATTTTATATGTCCATGCTAAACTTGGCGTTGGTCTACCTTTACCAATACATGTCAGCTGGGCAAAATCAGCACTAGCTTTCAACAAATTAATTTCAATCCCAGTGATACTTGGTGTAGGACAATAGTAATCCCAACTACGTGGTAACTTTTTACCAGCTAAAGCCGGTGGTTGTGCACATGTCATATTCATATGTTGCATCAGACGAATTGAAGATGATTCCGTCGGTGAATTCGACCAATCAGTCACATCTTTTTTGTGATCATTGTTATTATTATTCCTATTGGTGTTTAAATCTTTACCAGTGTTAATATATTGATAAGCATCATAAGATTGACTTTCAATTAATTTAGAAAGCCATACAAGTTGACAATCACAATTCAGCGGATTATTACTTAAATCTAAATAGCCAAGATTTGAACCAACATCATGTGAACCGGTGGATAAATAATGCAGATTATTTGATTTGGATGAATCAATGACAAGTTCCGCAAATTGTGGATCTAACCATGTCAACATATTATCCGATAGACTTAATTGTTTCGGTCTAGCTTCAGCAATTGTCTCATAGTCTAATGTAGTTAAATCACAATTACGAGCTGCCAAGTGGAATACATGTGCACCATGAAATGATGTCCTATCCAACGTGATACCTTTATTATCAGTTAATGAGAGAAGTTTTAAACTAGGCCCTAAAAATGCTTCCGGTTGTATAGTGATTATATGATTGTTGGATAAATCTAATATACGTAAATGTTTCATAGCAGAAAATGTATGCGATTGAATTTCTTTCAAATGGAAATTACTTATTTGAAGATAAGTCAATGTTTCTAAACCGGTCAAATTATCTCTTGTTAAAATTCCATTATGCCAACCTGTAATATTCATGCCTGAGATGATTAATTTAGCAATTTGTATTGGGATATCATGTCTTGGGATTGGTAAAGATGGTATGGTGGATTGACAAAATAACACTGGACGATCATTTTCAGTTAATTGTAAACATGCACAGCTGACAATTGATGATCTGTTATTCATCATGTTGAGAAGAATGAACAATTGGAAAATGTACAAAATGTTTGATAAATTTAAACAATTTGAGAATTGCATAGTTGTTTTAATTTTCTTCGATTTCGAAAATGTGAAATTTTGAAAATTCTGTTGTGATTATGTGTATATATATATATATGCAGCAAAGTGAATGATCTGTAGGAAAAAAAGAGGTGAAAAAAAACAAGAAAATTTAAGCGCTACTTGTTAGAATATTGACAATTGAATTGACACTGTAAATTTGGCGCATTTTTTGTTGAAAAGAACTACAGACAGTTCCAATGATCAATATTCTCAACTAAGACATTTTTAAGGGATGTTGGAATGATAGAAAACCACTGATAGTCATCAGTATCAACCGGAATTTCGATATGTTTTTTCATTTAAACTTTTTCATTTTAGTTCGGTCAGTTGATTAAACGAAGAGAGGAGCCGACATAGCTTCAGATCATCACTTAATGGTAGGCAAGATGAAACTGAAACTAAAGAAGCACTGGACAACGGGGGCGGACAATATCACAAAAGTTTAATACGGCCTTTCTTCAGGATACTGACAAAATCAACAAATTCAAAATAGCCTTTAGAAATAAGTTCCAGGCTTTGCACTGTCTACTCATTGGAGAGGAAACCATGATGGAGAACAACTGTAAAGGGATCACTTTAGCATGTCATGAGGTTCTGGGCCACAAGAAGCACCAACACAAGGAAAGGATCTTTGTTGATACTCTGGATAACATTGAAGAAAGGAAGAACAGTAACGCAGCAATCAATAGCAGCTGAACAGGAACAGAAAAACCGAGGTACAATGTGAATACACAGAAACAAACAAGCAGATTAACAGGCAGCATCAGAACCGATAAAAGAAAATATGTGGAAGATCTAGCAATGACGGTGGAAAACGCTGCACAAGAAGGTAACATGAGACAGTTGTACGAAACGATGAAGCTCTCTCTCTCTTGAATCGACCAGCTCCACTGAACCCACCCAACATCGTGGCAGCATCCACGGATTTCACAATCAATGTTGGCCCACTAACAATTGAAGAGATCAGCATGGCAATCAGGCAAATCAAGAGCGGCAAAGCAGCCGGACCAGATAACATTCCAGCAGAGGCTTAATCATAGTTATGTGATAAAAATATAGTAAACTAAGAATAATTTTTACTTATTCAGGTCCAATTCTTCCGAACAAATCTTTGAGGAGCAGGGATTAAAACGGTTCATAGATTACTTAGGCTTACTCGGAACTAATAGCCTACTTATTTTGAGATAGTGGAGAAAATTTCTGACTCAGGTGGTTGATTGTGATGGAGTTTCATTTTATGAGTTGGATACTTTGCTCGTCGACCTTTCATTGTTCTTCTTCTTCATCTGAACAACATGATCAGCAGCACAAACTTCAGGTAATAGAAGTGAAGTATTCGAATTGCTCCACACATGACTCGTAGCTTGCCCGGTTAACCTGGATCTCGATTGGTTGTCACTGACCTTTATAACCTGTCGTTGTTTACACCTTTCTTTTGATTGATTGTATCCCCGATTTATCAACCAGTCAAAGAAATCATAGGCAAATGTAGGATCCAGAAACAGATCCAAAGAGGGATACAATCAAAACAAAGATGCAGACAACGACAGGTTTAAGGTCAATGACAACCAATCAAGATCCAGGTTAACCGAAGAAACTACGAGTCATGTGTGGAGAAATTCGAATACTTCACTTCTTCTATCTGAAGAATTTTGTTCTGATGATCTTGTTGTTCCGAAGAAGAACAGTGAAAGCTCCACATCAAAAAAACACATCCAGCTCACAGAACACAACTTCATCATAATCTGTTTATTATTATTACTATTTTCATAGTGTGATAGGCAAATTCTCTTGAAAAATAAGGCAAATCTCTGAGCATATCCAAAAATCAGGACAGATATTTAGTTATATAAGTTAGAGCGTATTTTTTTTTTAATCTAAGTAGCTTTGATCATTTTCGAAATTCGTTTCTTGATTTATCTCATTACTGATAGTGTTATTTTGATATATATAAGTGAATGAGGTGAGCTCTCTTCTCTCTCTCTTCCACTCTCACCTACTCGTTCAATTATCAATAATTCAGAAATTGAAAAATGATGTACGTAAATTGTGATAATCATCTTTAAATATATAAATATAAATATATATATTTATGCAAATTTTATTGATAGCATGAAAATATTTACAAAATTTTATTTTATTTTTTTTTTGTAAAAAATTATACGAAATGTTTTGATAATGAATGATAATAGATTTTATTTAATTATTTTTTAATCAATTAAAATTTACTACTGACTATGATGTAAACAGTAGTAAGGAAATGAAAAACGACTTTATCAGCGATTTGAGTTTTTGTTATGATATATATAGATTTTTTGAAAAAAATACAAATACTCGATGGGATTTTATTGAGCGTTTACCAAAACTAGACGTTGATGAAGTACAATTTTTAGGGAAAATTACTGTTAAGTCGTGATAATTGCTGGTTCAGTGTGGGGGTGTTATTACGGGTAAGTAGAAGATAGAAACTAGCATACAAGATATAAGGAAAAACAAATTAAATTATGTGAAGATTTGATAGTTTAAGTAGAAACTAAACGAAACGGTACAATTTTGTGTTTGTGTCAATCAGTCAGTCGTTCAGTAGTAACATAGAACTTCGCAAGTACGTACTTCAATTCAAGTTGTCATACCTCATTAACGCAGAGATGCAACTATCATTTCAAATCCCATAGTATTAGAAGTAGTAGAAGTAAGGGAAGTAATCGGAAAGATTAGGTTTTGAAGATATTATTCAAGAAGTATAATTCTCAAGGCCAATGGGAAAGAGGAAGGCCAAGGAATATACTGTGCGGAGAAACGGAGACCGAAATGAGAACAACGAAGAATAGTTGAACAGAACTAGAAAGGTAGAACCAGGACAGAGTAGGTTGGAGAATGGTGATCGTTGGCCTATTACCCCGTTGGGGGTAACAGATGTATGTAAGTAAAAGTAAGTAAGTAATGTTCTATCCTTCGTTGTTGTGGATACCATCAACTTCAGTGTCTATAATTTATCAAGCCATCCTTAAGACAGATACAACGCAGAAGTTTGTACGTAAGTACATCAGTTCACG